ACAAACAATAATTGATTCCCACCATGTATCATTGTGTTCAACACTGGCTGCCCTCATTTTATGCATCCATTTTGGCATCGAGATTGGGTGGAAGATATACAAGGTGACCAAAAAAATACAACCCTAAAACGTTTGCCTTTAAAAAAGGGATTGGTGGATTTTATGTCTTTTGGTATCAGATTAAAGCTGAGAGCTTTTTCTTTCAAATACTGAAAAAGGCATGAAAATAGCACTTTGGGTTGCTGAGAATATGCCAATTATGTAAAAGTAGTCATTTTTCATCCTGTACATAAAAAAATTACCACAGTAAGGGATTTTAACTGTACTTATTTGTGCATGTCCTATAATAACAGCACAGCACATAATACTGCATGACAAGAGTACAAATGAATTTGATGGAAAAATCTTTTATTTCCAACAGATATCCCATCCTTTTTAGTCCTATTTTAAACCCTTTCAGCATCATAAATGTTAAAATTGCACAAATGAAGAATAATTGCACAGTAGGTTTACAGTAAAATTTTGCACTGTTTGAAGTGCTTGTGTACAGGATGAAAAAATGACTACTTTTACATAATTGGCATTTTGTCAGCAACCCAAAGTGCTATTTTCATAAGTTTTTCACCATTAGAAAGAAATATCTCTCAGCTTTAATCTGATACCCGACTCAGCTTTAAGCTGATACCCGAAACATAAAAATCCATCGATCTCTATTTTTTTAAGGCAAATGTTTTAGGGTAGCATTTTTTTAGGGTGTACACCCTGTCACTGTGCTTGTGTAGAGATCGTGACGTAACCATTTCCAGACAAGTTTTGTTGTGGAATGTCATCTTTTACATGATGTGGAGCCGACTTACAAAAAGTTTTTTCAATGGAATATTGTGTCCATGTGCTGTACATGTATGTCAGTTTCTATTTAAAGACCTTTCTGATGGTTTAATGTATGATCGGTGTATACCTTTAGTGAGTATAATGTACATTGTATTTTCCTGTATTACTACATGTATGATTAATCGTATGTAGCATTATCGCAGTGAACCCGTTTCAATTTAATTGATGATTTAGATATATGTACAAGTATGTAAAAGGTGTTAGTATTGCAAAACACTTAATTATTGGTAATTGTATAAAATCATTTCCAAGTCGCCTTTGTGTTTGTATTATTTGGGACAATTGGGTCGCGTGGTCTTAAAGTAGGTAACCTGTCAGCCTCGACTCCATGGGCGCGTGCGCGTTCCTTACACTAACGCAGGGCATGATGGGAAACAACATGGCGCAGCAAGATCGTACCCATGGGGAACGAGGTTGGGAACCTGTAAATTGAGACCAATTAAATGCGCCCTCAGTTTCCGTACGCCTAAAAGTTTTGCACGCGACTTGCATGTTTTCATGATACACTTTCATTTGTGTGACCATAATGCTTCGCGCGCAAATTGGGCAAGGTCAACTTGTATCAAGTCTACATGTGGGTTTTCGAGCAAAAAGAAAACCAATATAATTTTTCTCAGTAAATTCTCTCGATTTTGTATAGGGAGCATGGCTCCGGCCAGTAGGGCAATCTCCTATAAACTCCCATGAGAAGTTTTCTGGATTATATAATCATTTTATTAGAGAATTTGTGTTATTTTCGGGACAAAGGTGATTTATTATAGTTTGTAGCGTACGTACACGGCCAGCCATGTGCCATCTTTGACCTTCACGTTGTATTGCCGTTCCATACTAGTGTTGTCTTGTAAAGAATAAATTTAAGAGTAGATAGTCATCAAGGGAATTTTGGTGCAGTTTTTGTTTTTATGCTAAAGTACAAAGTACCAGTCGCCACATAGATGCCAACATGAAACAGTTAAGAGAAAATAAGATTTGCACGTGAATCTATTCGGATTAAAATGGTAAAAATTCACCTCGAAATCACTCATTTTCAGAAACTACTTTTAGATGGAAAAAACTACTGAAACTGCTCATCCCTTTTCAAAACAAATCACAATTTAAACGCAAATACCCTAAAAACTGTTTAGTACCAAAAAACTTATTGTGTATTCTGACTTAATGGCACAAAGACAGTGACACAAAATACCTGTTTCATCAAAATGTCAACAAAATAATGTAGTACACAATATCTTAATTAACAACCCTGGTTAGGCAAACCATATGATTTATATAATCCACTTTTCAAAAAGATGGGCCTTCAAAAGGACTTAGTTGAATATTTATAACTTTTAAACGGAGGTCTTATCGCCGGTGATGTTTGAAGCAGCGGCGGCGGAACGGGTTTGAAACTGGGGGGCATTACCAAAAAGGGGCACTTGCTCAGCATTTTTTTTTTTTTTGCACATCCGTGCTGAAAGGTCGACACGTGTTTTTCACCGGACACTTGGCCTCCGTAAAACCAAAGGGGGGGGGGGGGGGGGGGGGGGGGGGGGGGGGGGGGGGTACCATCTTCCAACATAGGGGGAGCTCTTCAAAAATGATGATTATAATTATGCCAACTATGCATTATGTGCCCCTGTGCCCCTTTTCAGGGCGTATTGTATGGGTTTTTTGGGGCTATGTTTTCATATTCCTCGTTTATATCAAAACTATCTATACCATTATTGGGAAATGGTTACCTCTAAGAAATAGACAGATATTTTAAGGGCATTTTTTTTTATCTCGAAGGGGCACTTTTATACTCAAAGCGAGGGGGCACATTTATGGCCGAAAAAGGGGCACTTGGGAAAATCGGGGGGGGGGGGGGCAAATGCCCCCCCCCCCCCCGGTTCCGCCGCCCCTGGTTTGAAGACAATTGTGACGACGATTCTTGAAATTGCATTTTTGGACGAAAGAGGCCGAGGTTCATTGTGTTTAAATGGTGATATTCTTTGAACGGATTGAGCAATTTCAGTATTTTTTTTTCTAAAAGTAGCTTATGAAAGTGGATTTTCCATTTATTATTATATTTGGTGCTACATATTTTTTTTTAATATGAAATACAATTTTTGGGGTTTTGGTTCCGCAATTTTTACTCGTCCTGTTGAGCGACGGCCAATTATATGGTGCCTCCTCGAAGGTGAAAGGGCAATACTGATCTACTTTATATGTGAACAAACAACTGAAATAAGTCAACCAAGTAGGTGAAAATTGCTGTCAATAGTGGATTTTGTTTATTTTCAACCACCCTGTAGCTTTCCTTGACCAATCAAATAGACTTTTATATAGAATGACAGTTTTTTTCCACATCCTTATGTTATGCGATGTTATGCAACTTGTTGATGAGTTTGCCGTTCATTTTTTAGTGGAGCAACTGCTCATTCGTCGACCTATGCTACCTCCATATTAGCGAAATTCCAGCACTTCTCAACATTTTTTTTTTCAGAGAAAAGGTGCGCTTTTAAATCAAGCAGTAAATAACGGTGTCACCATAAAGAATAAACCTGAACCTCATTTTGTTCTGTTCGAGTAATAAGACAATGAGAAGTCCGCGGGAGGACGATTTGCAGAGAGTTCTCATATAGCAAAATTGTTCCCGCAAAATTTCTGTGCTTAATGGTGACCATGGGCGTCGCGAGGGGGGGGGGGGGGCAAGGGGGGCACTTGCCCCCACCCCCCCCCCCCCCCCCCCCCGCCCCCGGAAAAGCAAAAAAAAAAAAAGAGGCGCGAAGACAAAGTGGTGTAAATTTAATGAGTGGGGGGGGAGGCAAAATGTCCCTGCCCCCCTCTAAAACTGATAAATCGAGAATGTGTTGAGAAATACAAGCATTTTTTGGCAAAACAATTTTTTGCCCCCCTCTAGAAAAAAATCCTGGCGACGCCCATGATGGTGACCAGAGGAGGTGACAGACTGAGTGCGCGCAAAGTTCTCCATCATGCCTTGTCGGATCCAGGGAGGGGATACAACTGGGGCCACTTGTTTTATTAGAAGCAGTAAGGTTGTCCGAGTATCACCTGTTGTCTAACGGAGCCCTCTGTCCATATCCATGCAATGTCTGATATATCAAACATGCAAATTTTATGTGACCCCGCCCGTCAGCCAATCAGAGTCGACTTTTGAAGCTGTGACGTCATTTCGATCAAAAATGTGGACTAAACTTTTGATTGGTAGTTGGCTGCCAAGTTTTTGAAATACAACACGAAACGGAAGACCCGATAGAAGGTGCCACTGAATGGTCAGAATCTAGTGGTCAAGACGCGGTGCCATTTTGCAATATTAATTGCCGAATCTGCGCCAGTGGCGCACGACGGGGGGGGGGGGGGGGGGGGGGCTCTCGGGGAGCCTATTTTTAAGTTGTACAATAGGGGTGTAAATGGCACCACCAATGTCAAAATAGTCTATCCCCCCAAACAAAAATTAAAATTTCTATGGCCAAAAATTGTGGGCAACATTTTTTGAAAAAATTCAAACTAATAAAAAAACTTGAAAAAAAAAAATGTGAGCCCTCCCCAAAGCCAAATCCTGGGTGTGCCACTGATCAGCCCAAATACCATAACAGACGGATATTCCATAGACTAGAGTGAAAACACCTTTTGTCTAAAATGTTCAGGAAATAGTTAAAACACTGTGTATCTCCCTCACAAGCCATCAGCTACTTTTAGTTTTACTATTACAATGTGGAAACAGCACATGATATTACTACATGTATACTTAATCCCCTTTCCATTTTTTTTTTTTTATATAAACACTTGTGCCCTATCCCCCCCCCCAAAAAAAATTATTTACCTTTCAACATGTAAGTACATGAACATGGTGAGCCACATAAGGATGTGTGTGAATTGTTTTTATTTTGCTGAAAGAACGCACACCTTTCTTGTAATCCGCGGACAGAAGTTTGAAACGGTGGTTGTGCTTAAAAAAATTCTTAACTTGAAAAGTACATGAGTGATTTGAATGATTCTTGTACTAAAAGAAAGCTTATGAATTCGGCTCACATATCCTAGATTTTGAAAGTGCTACACTAAACTTCACTAAAACAACAGTCCCGACATTGGGTTTTGTTTTTTTTACTCACCCTGAATACTGATTTTTCAAATGATTTGATAAAGCTTGTAACTTTGTTGAATGTGTACGACCCAACGATGCACATCGTTACACATTTTGACATGGAGTGAGGGGCACAAGCTTTTAGTTTTGAGAGGGCTCCTCTCTTCATCATATTTACATTAGATCTTTGCTTTAGCATACACCATGCTCCGTCTCCCTGGCAGTTTTTGGAGGCTGACCTGTGATCAAAGCTCGGCGACCTCCCGGTGGAGTCTTCCGTTTCGTGACAGCGGTTGGTGGCTGCAACCCGATTTCTGTCGATGTTTGAAGGCATTTCTTTGTCCTGATCTTTTGTCTTGCAGCAGGAGTACTATGCTTAGCAAATGAGCTCAAAGCAGAGGCAAGTGCGCTATCTGTGGCAATCGTCTCAAACTTTGACACAAAGCTCTGCAATGGGAGTCTGAATACCTCAGGATCATCCTCCAGCTTCCTACTTAAGGTGTCAAACATGTTCTGCAGCTGCTCTTGGACATCTTGGTCTTGAGTTGGCCTGCTACTTTGCCCACCATTTTGGAATTCCTTCTCAAGGTCAAAAACGGTCTCTTCTCTGGACACTTCCCCATAAACCTTTTTGAACATCTTGTGGTACAATCTGGTAATCAAAAACAAAAATGGTTTAAAAAAGAGGTTAGTTGAAGTTGAAATACAAGTACAGAAAATACCGATAGAAAAACATAAATCTTTCAAATCTGAATCCACAAACACTGGAGCATCTGAGTATCATTGCTGGCTTCTTTTCGTGTTTCTTTTCATTTTCAAAATATAGGATATGAAAGCCCAATTCATAAGCTCTCTTTTAGTACAAGAATTATTCAAATCTCTCATTTACTTTTCAAGTTACGGAATTTTAAACACAACCACCGTTTTAAAGTTCTGTCCACAGATCACAAGAAGGTAAGTGTTCTTTCAGCAAACTGAAAACAAATCACTATAGGATGTGTGTATGAATTGTTTTCGTTTTGCTGAAAGAACACACACTTTTTTTTGGTGATCCGTGGACAGAACTTTAAAGCGGTAGATGTATTTAAAATTCCGTAACTTTAAAAGTACATGAGCGATTTGAATGATTCTTGTACTAAAAGAAAGCTTATGAATTGGGCTTTCATATCCGTGATTTTAAAAGTGCTACATGCAGAACTTCACTGAAACAATAGTCCCGACATTTGGGTTTCATTTGTTTTTTACTCACCCTGTAGTATCACTAACAGCCTGGAGTACCTACCTGTAACAGAACTGAAGATCGGGACACACAGAGCGGTCCGCGGCATAAACATATTGTTCGCCATGCTGCTCTCGAAGATCGCACTTCAGAGCATCCAAAGCTGATGATGGAGAATGTCCACTCTCAAACAGGTCTTTCAGTTTACCGATGGTATCCTCCGACACAGCTCTTCTCCGAAGTGCATCAGCACATGACAGTCCATGACCATGCTGATGAATGTAAACACAAAAGTGAGAACAAGGAAAAAGGAAGGTTGAAAAATAGTTAAATTGAGGCTCAAAAATACCGACCTAAAACATTATGAGCAGGTTGAGAGTCATTGCATAATTATGTCACCAACTCAATCCAACATCATCTGTGGGGGAGCCCGGACCAACAGTGAGCGTCAAAGACTCGGGAAACCGAATAGGGGTGTTGGGACGGTGTGAGACCATCCTCCCCCCAAAAGAAATAAAATTAAACTGTACATGTACATGTACTGTCGCCCCACTTAATGTATGTATTCGCGTTTAGTGGATTCCTCTATCTACTGTCGCACCACCACCCTCTAGTGTCGCCCCACTTACCGATGATCATCACATTTAACAAGTCCTCTTTCTACTGTCGGGCCACCACCCTCTAGTGTCGTCCCACTTACCGATGATCATCACATTTAACAGCTAGAACCATGTAATTACCGTACTCTACACAAATGTCTCTCTTTAACTGCCAGAAATGCAAAATAATTAACATTTCCCTTCTTTTTCAATGAAAATAGACTGCTTTTTCACCCAGCTATTGCATATATATACCTGTCCTATGCTGTGACTTTCTTTGTGGTCCGCATCGCATGGGAGGCGTATGTAGACCCTCTGTTCCCACTTGGGTAACACCCCACTCTCCAGACGAGTGCGGATGGCCTTGCTTATTTTACGTTCTTGCCATGTAGTGCAGCCAGCCTCGACCTTAATAAATGTAAAATGAAAGTATTTGAATAAATCATTTAACTTATATATTTCCTTTGTATTGATCTAAACTTCATAGAATGCCTCATCATGACCCTCGCCTCATGACCCTGGCACTGAATACAAAACCTGTGGCATACAGTAGGCCTCATAACCACTTTATTCTGTGGCACCTGCATTATGAGAGGACTAGATCAAAGCAGTTCTGTAGTATATTATTGTGGATGCTTCTAAAAGACAGCTCGACAAAAGGTATACCTGTTGGTTGGCGTGTAGCCTTTTGCAACAATTGTATTTAGTGGTCACGCAGAACATTCCAGTACACATAGCCGTTACGTACACGTTAACATTATATACATGTACCTTGAACATTGTACACACTATACAAGTAGTGTACTTAGCGTATTTTAACCTTCAAAATGTAGACCCATCACCCAATGCACAAGTTCCTCTTGTGAAATACCAATAGATCTTTTTGCATGTACTGCTAAAGTGAACATGTACAAATGTCGAGAAATGCACAATTGGAAGCTTGGTCATTCAAGACCCATCCTACATTTCTTTTCTGCCAGCAAGTCCATGTAAGCAGCATTTTTTTGTTTTCAACTTTACCTTGTAGTCAACAAATCGAAACACCTCCTTCACAATAATGGCAGCTGGGCAGCCCCTTTTCCTTGAGGCTTGCAGTTTTCTGCAGTGCCTCTTAAAGGGGTGATCTTCCTGTCAGCAAGGGAACCAAAAATACAACAAAAAGCTTGAAAATGGATTATTTAATTCCTCAAATGAAGGTAGCATTAACTCGTAAATCTGTGAAATCTTAGGCACCACATATGTACATTATGCCTTATACAAGCAATGCGAAGCAAAACCTTACCAACTGTCTACACATACTGCACTGGAGTTCATCAATTGTTCAAGTGTCAGCCTCCAGACTGCGCACGGTTTATCCTGTGCATGTATGTGCACGCAGCATTCCGTCTGTGCATTTTTCAAAATTGCTGTTTTCATGTGCCGATTGTGGGCCCATACTAATTCTGACACAGTACCAATGAATGCTTACACTGCTTATTGGTACTTTGAGAGATGCTGTGCCATTAGCTGCCTCTATATTCCTAATGTAGTTAGGAAATGAACAAAAACCGAAAAGAAAGAAAAAAATTGCATCAATGTCAGTTTCGGAATCCTACCTTTTTTTTTAAGCACTTCTCTCGTTCTTCTTGAGCCCTCTTTCTTCTTTTTGCATGTTTGTCCCTCCCAAACATACAAGTCATCTGACTGCGAGAGGCAGTGATGAACGGCACACCATCATTCGGGACGACGTGCTCCTTGACATCCGCAAATCGGATCCGGTGTTGAAGGACTTGGGGAGACAAAACATGGCAACATCAACACGGAGAGGAAGACGCGCGACAGCAGACACGAACACGACAAAATAATTGGGGAATATAGTCTGGTTCCGTGACCGATGATGAATACTAATTAGCAGTCCCTGGGTCAAGTTGCTAAACTACAAAATGGTGTGACTCGAAACACCGGCTGTTTTCAAGTTCACCAGAGGCGGCTGAGAAAATTGCATTTTTTGTCCTGAAGTATTGGCAGAATTTTTCTAAATTAGACATGTTAGGATTGAAGAATGACTGCCAATGACTGCTGGAGTTCAAAATGTCATTTATCAATGTCATACGTTCATGACGTTGTGCGTGCGCTGATCTTCGCTTGACCTCAGCAGGTCAACTCTACGTTCAGCTCGACCATTTGGGATGGAGGGGAGATTGTATGCTTTGCATCGCGAAACAGTACGTCATGATGCGCGGGCGATGTCAGACAGGCCAATCACGAGGCCACGTGCATGATGTGTTAAACACTGCAGATAATGTGGAATCGCACTTACCATCCGGACATGGAGAGACCTCGGCATTTATGGCCTCGTGATTGGCCCATCCCTGGACGCCGCCCGCGCATCATGATGTACCGTTTCGCGATGCAAAGAATAATCTCCCCTCCATCCCAAATGGTCGAGCCGAATGTAGAGTTGACCTGCTGAGGTCATGCCAAGATCAGCGCACGCTCAACGTACGTAAACACAAATTAATGGAAAGATTTCCATATACGAAGTTCACTCAACACTCCGTGTACAAACCCTATGACTATATGAGAGTAGACTGAAAATTTTAAGTGTTTTCTAAGAATTTGCTTGTACTTTCTCACTGTTCATATTGACTTTGATGACATGAAATTGCTGTCTGGGGGCTAGTTAGTCAATACAGAGGAAAATTAGTGAACTTCATATAATTATGGAAATCTTATCCCATGATCCAAATGTCAATCATGGGAAAATTTTTACGCAGTGGCTATTGTTACGGCAGCCGTAACGCATTTCCCATTTTCTATCGTTACGGTAGACTGCAACTTTTATAAAAACATGACAAGAAAATATAAAATTAGAAGGAAAAAAGTGATTTTGAACATTATGAAATTCAGACTTTATTTCCCTTTTAAAAAAAATCCTCCAAAGCCTCAGGTTAGAAAAGGAAAAAAATTCGAGTGCAAAATTGAGATTCGACCCCGCAACTTCGCGGTGCAAAATCGTACCCTCTAATCGACTGAGCTGTCGCACTGTTCGCTTCAATATGTGGAAGCAAATTATTATATACCTGCGTGCGTATCAAAAAGTATCGTAGAGGGCGCTAAACAACGACTGCCGTAACGATAGCCACTTCGAAATATTTAAGATTAGTATTGATCAACATGGTCAACTTTTTGGGTGGACTTGTGTTTCAAAAAGTGGAATTTCAGACACAGGTATTTCGTTTATCAAAGGGCATTTCTAAAAGCCATAGAGTGCTGACTCCCTCAGAAGATACTTCTAAAATTAGAAGGCTTTTCTCCGTTTTAGAAGTACTCAGAAGGCGGCTCTCAGAAGGCTGACGGACGGAGAGAAGCCTTCTGAATCTGAGGCTGCGACTGCGAGGCCTACCTGTATGCGCGTCTGGATCGTGCGAAGCACCGGCGGTGTATTTCTGACTTTTGTCCGCGTTAAATTTGAGCGACTTGGCAATCTCAAACGATTCTTTTACTGACCAGGCTTGTTCTACCGTGGACACCCATCCACACAATTCGGGGTCTGATGCTCCACTTCCATCTTCTGATTGGGGAATGGGTGTCCACTTGCTCGTCCATAACGAAGAAGCACCGTTTTTGGCGTCACCTTCGGCCGCCATATTTTCGCGCGAGTGTGACGACACGTACGTATGGGCGGACGCTTCGCCCCATTTCCACGTCGCCCCATGTCACTTCGCCCCATCCCCACATCGCCCCATCCCCGCTTCGCCCCATCCCCACATCGCCCCATCCCCGCTTCGCCCCCATCCCCACTTCGCCCCATCCCCACTTCGCCCCATCCCCACTTCGCCCCATCCCCACTTCGCCCCATGTAGATTGGTTCCTCCAAGAGTGAAATTAGGATGTCAAAGGCATTGTCGTTCTCAGATAAGTGGGAGACGGGTTGGTATAGCCGGGTCTTTTAGGCCAAAAAAAAAAATATTCGGTCTCTGGTCAGACCACAAAGTTCCGGAATTGACGCGGCCACGCGGCTTTTTTTTTGGGGGGGGGGGGGTTCTTCCTCAAGCTTGGATTGTAGTACAGACAAGGTGGGGTACTATTTTGCTTTTTTGGTGTCCTCATGTACATTGGTGTCCTACATAATTTGCCTTGTTCATTTGGTGGGCTAATTCTTTCCGTTGGTTAGCAATTAGTGTATCTGTTGGAATTGTTTTTCAGCCAATAAAATATATGAGATTTTTTTTACTTTTTACATGTAACGGCTGGGGCGAAGTGGGGATGGGGCAAAGTGGGAATGGGGCGAAGTGGGAATGGGGCGAAGTGGGGATGGGGCGAAGTGGGGATGGGGCGAAGTGGTTAGGGGCGAAGTGACATGGGGCGACGTGGAAATGGGGCGAAGTGTCCGACATCCGTACGTATATGGCTGTGATGACGTCATGATATGCATATTCATTACCCGCTAGTTTGGCATGAAACCAGGAAATGCGTGGCACCAGTACGACTACGAACTTTAATACTGCAAGTGCAAAACAGTGACTAATTTCGAGATAAATCGTAGTACATTGATCCATTGATCATCCATCATGAGGTTGGTATGATGTGTCGTAGGCCCCCCGCCTATGGGCTGAGTAGGCTATGTCCGAATGTTAAAAAGGCGATAAGTTTGGTCCAAGTTACTGCTCGGCTAGCCCCACTAGTGTGGCCGTCGGTATGCTGCGCTGAACCTCAGGGGCTACTGCTCGGGGGTCAGACAAGTCGACCGTTGAGACAACTCGACTCGGGACAACTCGACCGTTGAGACAACTCGACCGTATGTGCGATAAATGGAAAGACAAGTCGACCGTTGAGACAAGTCGCCTCGCATGTTTTTGGGCCTAGTTTCGGGGATAGTACCGGGGATTTTTGACGGCGGCTGATCGCCGTTTGGGAGTGATGACACATGAGGTGTTTTTGTTGCATATAACAGAGCCGATATAGCGCAGCGTGATTGTTTTTGCCGGGCCTGTGCGCCCACTTGCCGCGCCGGTTGACATGCATGCCCGCGTGCCGGGTCGGGCCCGGTCCTCGCGGGCAGGGCGCGCCGGCCCAACGCGACGGCCACCGGATGGGATCGCCCTCTGTGCATCGAGTATGCCCGCGCCGCGCCCGGGACCGGTCCTGCTACAGATTTTTGCAACTTTTTCCGCTCCACGTGTATACATTTCCATTAAGTCGAGCTGTCTCAACGGTCAAATTGTCCCGAGTCGAGTTGTCTCAACGGTCGAGTTGTCTCAACGGTCGAGTTGTCTCAACGGTCGACTTGTCCCGAGTCGAGTTGTCTCAACGGTCGACTTGTCTGACATCCTACTGCTCGGCCTACTCGTTTTTATTAAACCGTACGAAGGAATAAACCATACGTACGAATTACTTACTCCTAGGAGTACGAATTACTTACTCCTACTAGAACTAGTATGAGGCTCCACATAGTGGAGCTACTACGTGGAGCCTCATAGTTCTAGGAGTACGAATTACTAATTCGTATGTACGAATTACTAAACCGTACGTACGAATTACTAAATCATACGTACGATGTACGAATTAATAAATCGTACGTACGAATTTATAAAGGCAGTGGATATTTTGACGGAGACGGCAAACCTTTAGTAAACGTTAGTTTGCCGGATATGCACTGAACATGCGCAGTTACTGTTTTTTGTACTTAAAAACATTTTCCAGTGACAAATTTTAGTCTGGCTCCATGCCAATATTATCGTTGTAATCTCGTATTCACAAGATGGGATTCAGACCATTTTATAATTTCGGACTTTATTTCCCTTTAAAAAAAATCCTCCAAAGCCACAAATCCAAAAAAGAAAATGTAAAATGTTTGAGACATGTTAAAATAATAAAAGAAGAATATTCTTATTTATGTGGGGATGGGAAAAAAAACGTTTAAAATGTGGCGGGGATTGGGATCGAACCCGAGTCATCCCGCTCATTAAAGCCTTTGCTTAGCCACTACACCAAACGTGCTACACAACTTTTGGTGGGAATTTAATACATCTTATTATAATTCAGCCCTATCTTAAAGAGTACAGCGCCCTCTGTTGATATGGATTGCCGCCGGCAAAAATTTATCGTCGCCGCTGCATTTCTCATGGGTGCAGCACGAGGTTTCACACGGCAGTTATGGCATAAACGGCTGACCGTGCAGCTTAGTCTGAGTATCATCCGTTATCCATGGAGCCAACTTTTCTTTATAACGTCTGATATGTCTAGACATGCAGATATATTCAAGCTGCGCTTGATATATTCAAGCAGCTTCATCATCATTAGAGGGACCTAGTTATCCTGTATTTCAGGCAAAAGTCGGACAACCTTCATGCAGAATGAAAACATGATGCGTCCATATTCCTGTAATCTGCTTGAAGTCGTATATGGGTCATGATACATGTACTCGTGGTTTCCGCTGCGCATGCGTCAACTTTACAAATGTGCATCGGTGGCTGTTACCTGTCATTCAGTATCGTTCTGAAGTGTGCCCGCATGCGTGCCATGTTGACCAGAATTGAATGATACAGTGTATATTGCCAGTCACTGCAAAATATCCCCCCGCCTTTCAATTTTTGCATTATTCTTCACAATTCCTTTCTGCAGATGCCTGTCAGGAGGAGTTTTAATTTGATATTTTCAAGACGATGAAAATTTGGTCGGTATAAAGTGGACTCACGAGCTATGTCGCAAACAACAGGTAAATTAAAAAAAATTTGATTTTTTTTTTTAAGGGAATAAATGTGTGCTTTGGAGGTTTTAATCACTCTGTTTAAGACCGCTTGGAGTTTGGGTGCTGATATTTCGGCTCCGGTAACTATCAGCACCCTGACTCCAAGCGGTCTTAAACATAAGCTGCCTCACTGTCAAATTTCTTGCTAGGATCCTGCATTCCCCTAGTCTATGGAATATGCGAGCTGATTCGGCTATTAATTATGCAAAACCACAACCTCGAGATTCTGACCATTCAGCGGGTGCCTTTTATTGGGTTACGGTAACCAGTTGTTGCATTACAAAAAATAATTGCAGCCAAACTGACCAATCAACAGTTTAGTCCACATTTCTGATCGGAATGACGTCACAGTTTCTAAACTCCACTCTGATTGGCTGGATCACGGGGTCGCTTAAAATTTGCATTGCTCACATATATCAGACGTTGGTTATGGAGAGGGCTCCGTTGTGATACTCGGACTAGCATTCCCCCTTCTGATATCTCTATTCAATAAAACAGTCAAGTGATTCTTTGAATTCTCCAACTTTTTAATTTTTCTTTATTTACTGCAGTTGGCAAATTATAAATTGGGCCTATTCACAGTGGACAAATCCTTTTGGTTTAATAGTATTTAGGGATTTGTTCCCATTTTTCTACACAGACGGTAGCGATGTGGTCCTAAAAGAGGGACAATGCATCAAAAAAAGTGGCAATAGGGGACTCTTGGGGAAATATAACTGGCAGAAACGATGGTTTGTTCTAATTCAACGAGACAAGACGGTTACTCTGTATTACTATGAGTAAGTACAATCAAAGCAAATTTTGTATTATGACAGTGTACAATTTTTAAAGAAACTTTACATTAGGGCTGTGCATCGGAACCGGGTCCTCGACTACCAGACCGTTGATGTCAGGAACCGGTCCCAGATTATGGGATCCGGTACCATAACCAACTTCACAAATTACTTAGTAACTTCTCAGACAATGAAAAAGACAGGTTTGGAATGTCATTTGTCGGGAATTTTCAATATGAAAACCAGGCAACATGGGAAAACAAACATATTTCACATTTATGACGCTCAGGTCAGTTGCAGTTTACACCATAAAGCTATAAAGCTCAATGTACACAATTGTGTTTTGCTGTTTTGATGCACAGATGTGGTAGCGTTATCGTGCAGACCTGTATGAACAATCTGAACAGCCACTTCTGAGATTCAAATTTTGGGTTTTTTGGGGTTTTTTCAATCAGGTACCAGTTCTGGTACTTTTATTTCTGTTCAACACATTCTTTTTGTGACTTTTCATGCGGATGACCATGCCTTTTTGTTCAAATCTTTCATCTTTGACAATTTTTCTTGATTTGCCTTTCAAGGAAAAGAGGTGCAAGAGTTCCTAAGGGAGAGATACAACTCAGCAATAAGTGTGAGTGGAGATTTTCCAGTCATGTGAACCTTATGCCAGAGTTGTGAAGTTTACATACATGTATACAAGTTGAAAATTTATTAAAAGAAAAAAAGGTGAATTTATCGAAGAGCTCAGGGAACGCGATTTCTGTTAGCAGAGAAGTCTTAGAATTGACACATGTGATACACATCAAGCTAAGCCTTCTAAATTCTTATACGCTTCCTTGTAAAATTGTGAACCTCAAAATGTCTGAAATTTCTTTCTTTGAGATGAAACGTCTAAACATTGACAACTGTTGTCGAACTTGAAATTTCCAAATGCATGTGCATTAATACGTGAATTTCAAATGTTTATTCTCAAACAGTAATTTCCGACATTTGTTCTGATTCTTAGTATAAGCATTTTGTAAACAGAAACTCGGAATACATGTTCATAGCATCTGCATAAGTATAAACACCGTCATTTTGCTTCGAGAGTTACTCCCATTGTCGAAGGTAGTTTCCGATAAATGACTACATGAATAAAAACTGTTTTTCATGGTAAACATTTTGATCAGATGTGACAAGGGAACCAGAAGGCATAGAGAAGGAGAGACGGAATTGTTTTGAAGTGGGACCCTTTGCGGAAGACGGTACAACAAGGACCTACTACATCTGCTGTGGTAAGACTGCTTGTCACTATAATGTTTTCCCTTCTTGAACAAAACCAGCGATTTCTGGAAACCTTTACGTAACTGTTATGTGCCGTAACTGAAGACCCGTCTTTGCTCCTTTGTGATACACATTAGTAGACACTCTGGACGTATTTGAAACTCCGTTCTTGTGTTGATTGAACACGAGGACTGGGTTTCAAATAATGAGAATCAACAGGTGTATGTTGTTTGCGAACAGGATCTTCACTCCCCCACTTGTTGGGGAGTAGATGAAGATTGTCAAGAACAAAATATGGCCGACTTACCGCAACCTACATAAATATTTTGTGCATAGAATTGAAGTGATTTGTAAAATAAAGTAAAATAGAATGGGATTGTCTTTGCCATTTATTTTTATAGGTGTTCCGGGATTTTAATTCTTTTCATAAGGTGAATAGTTTTCCCTCCTATTCATTTGGCATTTTAACGTGGCGGCTGCCATCTTGAATTTGCAGCTAGCGTACTTTCAGTGTTATAGAATACAAACAATAAACCTGTTCTCAGTGAGCTGTGTTCAAGAGGTCTACAGATTGGTGCAGTTGGAATTATTTTCACCTTTTGCCTCAGTGAACCAGGTTCGCCTCCCACCCAGGTTGACTTGCATTTGAGAATTGTTCAGTCCTTGTCAAATTCCACTTAGAGTTGGTCACAAATTTCCCCCGTTTTGCTCAGTTCCGATTGAGAGTGGATATGATTGGGCCCTTAAAGTCATTCCCATAGTTTGCATATCAAATGTGAGTTTCAGTCAATTTGCAAGGTCAGTTTTTTTTTTCCATTCAGAAACAGAAGATGACAAGCATGAATGGATGGAGGTCCTGGATGCTGCCATAGAGGGCACTACAGCCAAGAAAGCTTTGCTTCGCAAGCAGACGGCCTCCTTTAAAGCCAAGGTACAGTCTTGTAAAATTTAGGTGCATCCATGTTGACGACCACAAGGGTTCAATGGAAATGATTGCAGCAGCTTTTAGCGTGTGTACGACCTTCACATGAACATGGTACATGTACCCTCTGAGTAATGGCTCCTAATGGGCTCCGTGCACACACAAGAGAGGGCACTTTTGAGAGTCCCGTGGACGGGAAACACCATGTGCGCGAACTGGGATAATGTGATGTACTTACAACAAATTTTTTTTCAGAATGTATACAGAATTTTCTGAATGTTTATAATCGGCAATGCATCCGAATGTTTCTCCCAGTGGGAACAAAAGAAATTGACTTAAGTAGGGTTTGTGATCTACTGAGCTATCCAGCCCTATGTTGGCGCAACCTGACAGCTCCCCATTTTGTCATTGTCTTTGTTCAAGAGGCGTTAGTCAGAAGCCATAAATGCGTATGTGCTGTAGCCAGGGATCACGCCAATGTCACAACGCTACCGATATTAGCGATGCTGCAAATCTGGGAGATTCTCTGTGGTTTATTTGGGAAAAAAGTACATGTATATGTAAAGGTTCAATGATCTGTTTCTCTTCAGAAAAGGAAAGACCGGGAGAGTAAGAATTCCCTAATAGCCAAGGAGAACGAAGCCAGACGAGATATGTACTTGAGTGCAGACTGGAGAAAGCAAGTAAGTGTGAGGGTAGGGGCATAGTGTCTTAGAGGGGGGGGGGAGATGCATTGATTGTAATGCACCTATCAATAGGCCGATTCATTAAGCCCCGCCCATTGGACAACCACTCTTGGGCCTCTTCAATATCAGACAACAGCTGAATGTGTCACACGCATGTCGGACTGTTGTATTCGTATGTCGGACATTAGTAACAGTTGTGGTTGGCCAAGTCACCTCAAAATCCAGTTACAAGATCCAAACATATTTGCATGTATTCTCTCTGTTTAAATGTTTAAATGTATACTAGCCACTGGCTCAGAATTTAACAGGTTAGTTGTTGAACACCTTACTTAAGATTTTGAGCAATTTTGTTGCAAATGAAAACAATGCACAGAGACCACATGATCCTGTGTTCCTTTAATAGCAGTCAGTCTCGCCCTTGATCATGAATTTGTTCAAGGATCCATGAGATGAATTTTCTGAGGAACACATTTTGTACAACTTTCTACTACTCTTAAATGTAGAAAAACTATTTGCATCCTGTTTTTTGGTTAATTTTCTTGAAAAATGGACTTCTTTAAAGATTTAAATTTCCCATGCTTTTCTGGACAACTGAGGGTGCTGTTGCTGTGATGTCATTTCGGGAAGACGCTGTTCAGTTTTCTGTTCAAATTGTGAACCAAAAAATTTGCTCATTGAACACATTTATGAGAAAGGTTTGCTGGTGGGCTTACTGCCATGTACTGACACAACAAATCACCAAAGAAAAGAACATTTACGACAGCACAATATCCAAAATTCTGGCAACTCTTGGTGCTGAAATAGCTGTAAACATTGAGGTTTCTGCCTGAAATGACTCACACTTTTGCTCATGGATATGGACATTTGCATTAGCATAAAAAACAAAAAGGCACAAAAAACCTTGAAAATGCAAAACGAAAATTGAAAATTAGGTTAAATGGGACACAAAGATGCGTTTCCAATGATTGCATTAAAAATTACATTGTATGTGCCTTTTTAAAATGTATCTATTTTGATCTAATTAATAGCAATGGGCCAACTTGCTGGCTTTGGCAATCGGCAAGAACTGGAAGAAAGCAGACACCAAAGATGGGGTGACTGTCAGTAGAATGAGCTTCAGTGATCTGCCCCTTGCAGTGATCAAGGTAAGCGAGTAAAAATTAAGTCTGTCCCAAGCCAACATTGCCCATCAGGCTGGCGTTTATCTCCGGTTTCCTTGGCATTAAATGATTGAGAATATTCTATTCCCCCTGGATGGGAAGCTAGTCCATCACAGGTTACTCCCCGGCCCAGCTAATGCTGGTACCCACCCATCAGAGATGATATGGCTTGCCGAAGGTCAGAATCTAGAGATTTAGAGGCGGTTGTCTTGCATAATTAATCAGCGAATCTATTGTTTTGTTTCAGGTCGAGGGTTTGATTAATGCAAGATCCAAGCATGTCTACAGCTTCCTTCAAACAGCTATACAACCCGGTGGAAAGGTAGGTTTAATCATGTGTGTCAAGACACTGATATATTGTAAAAGGTGATATGCCACATTTGCAAGCATCAAATAACAAATTTTAAATGCTTTACTTGACTGTTAGTAAATAATATAGTCTCAAGCATCCTGTGAAATCATGGCACCTGGTTTGCTGTCATTTTCAAAAAAAAAATGAAATTTGTATCTATTTCCAACGATGGTTGGCCAACCATCGTTTTGAAAAAAAAAAACACTTCTGTTTTCAAATACTGCCCCATTTTATCAAAATAAGTTGGTCAGCAGTTTGTTTCAAGTTGGTTACACAAACTTAAACGGGTGCAAGCCAGCTAGTCTGGTTTGCTGATCTCACAATTCCCAGACGTCTATAAATGGCTCCATTTCATTTGAAGCAGGGTCAGGGAACCAGACAAGAAAAACAGCATATTTGAATACAAAACTCTAAACTGGTTACTAGCAAATAAGTATTACAAATATATTTATTAAATATAATAGTTCTGAAATCTTTCTGCATCAATGTCTTGAAATATTTAGTCGTAAATGTGTCAGCCAACAAATTTTAACTAAAAGACCAATTGCTTTTTTTCCACCCTACTCAAAAACATCCACCTTTCGGCAGCTGGATTTCCCGTTCAGAGGCATGGAGGACATCTTGGATGAGTTCACCAGCCCCCCGAGGGGTTCAGTCATGGATTGCTACAAGGAGATCAAGATCCTACCCAACACCAAACCCCGTGGTGTCACCCTGCTACAGGCGGCGGTACCCCTGCAGCTGACCCAGGGGGAATCCTGCGGGATTCTCATCATGTCTGTCAACCACCCAGACAGTCACAAGAGACAGGTATGCTTAATGGCAGGACATCAGAAGGCAATCACAAGCCAATTACAAGTTAATCACAAGTCAATCACGTCAATCACAAGTCCAGCACAATTAAATCACAAATCAATCACAAGTCAATCACAAGCCCATCAAGTCAATCATAAGTCAAGCACAGGCAAATCACAAGTCAATCACAAGTCAATCACAGGTCAAGCTCAAGTCACTCAAAATCCAATCACAATTCAATCACGATGCAACCCCACAATTCCATCGAAACACCGGGGCAAGTCCCTTCTCTTTCAGCATAAGTGTCCTGGGCATTACACAATGCACAGGACCTATAGTTTTACGTCCCATCCAAAAGACACAGGCTTGAAGGAGCCCAGGCAAGCCAACACATGGAATGGTTTCCCATCCAACTACTGACCACAGTCAATGTTGCTTAACTTGACAGTTCTACCACTAGCTCTTCCCTTGAGCTAACTGACTCTTTGCTTTCAGCAGCCATCTTTGAGGTGTGTTTTCACTATTTCAATTCATTCACAATGAAAGCACATGAGGTCCACTCATGCGTACCCCTGCTGAGCAAAAGCACATACCTCTCCGATGGCTGCAGTGCAAAGTGTCTATACAGGGTGGCAGACTAACCCTTTGATTAAAAGGAAGCATAAGCCGTGTCCAAATTACTTGGCGTACGGCTTGACATTACACACATGTCTATGGTAGCGGCTGCAGCCACTTCCTATAGACTCGTGTGTAATTTCTAACCGTAGCCAAGCAATTCGGACACGGCCTTATTCTGCTTGCAAAACAAAATTTGGATTGTCTTCCTCCAAACATCCTCCTTCCAGCAGGACGCAGTCACCTGCAACGTCGGCCTATCTGGTTGCATCATCAAACCGAAACGAAGCCTGCAGACCAACCCGGCACCGACCCATAACCCGCCCCCTGGAGACCAGGAAAGCAGCGCCAGCGAGGATGACGAGGACGACCTCATGTCACCAGGTCGGAGGGTTAGAGGGTCAGAGGTCACGCACCTGACATTACTGGGTCAGATCAACCTGCAGGGGTCGTTGCAGACCATGCTGAAGGGGGCCTACAAGTCGGGCCTGTTGGTGCACGGCATGCGGTCATTCTTCCAGAATCTTACCGAGCATATTAATAGCTATGTCAAGATTGTGGACGTCTGACGGAATGGGGCGAGGTCGGTGAGAAGCTGGCCCAATTTCAAGGCTCTGTTTACTGTTTGAAAAAAAATCCATGCTTACTGTAGCAGAGAATTCTGTGCTAAGGCCAAACACAAAAAGTCTCTGTTTTTTGGTCGGCGCGTGCATCGCCGTAGCCATGCGTGTCTGCAAATTTTTTTATTTTTTTAAATGCCAAACTCACTGGTTTGACTGGAATCCTGCTGCTGCACAATTTTAACATGTTTTTAGATAGGGTTACGATCGAGTATAGGCTTTATGTGGCCTCTCTGGGCTCGAATATATTTTGCACTACATTTAGTCGGGCACCATTTGCAGACGGTGTTGCAATTTTGTAATTGTGTTTCTCGAAGCCAGACTGAGAGAGCGATGGTCGTGTATCTGGAACCTGTAAACGCTGTTTAATTAGCGCAGCATGTAAGGGAGCAGACTGAAGACCAGCCTGGCAGCATATGCACAATGTCGATGTCACTGTTTGGCCTGACGTTACCGTTTTCTCTGACTTTTGTCTTGACTATCCAAATTTCCCAAAGAATGTTCGTGTCTGGTCGATATCATAAGTGGGTGCAGAATTCTCAAGCCTTATGGCCTTACTGAGGTTACCTCAAGCTGCACTCTGAAGGATATTTTTGAGAGTTTTAAGGGGATCGAAGCGTCATCTTGAACATCAGCAGACATTTGAAGAAAAAAAGTTGGGGGGAAAAAAATGCATCGCCACACCACTTTTGGGGCAAGCTCCATACCAAAAACCAGGGACTTTTTTTAGCCTTACTGTAACTGAAAATCTGTGCTAATGGTTACCTTATTTTACAGGTCAGTGATGAATTTTGGCGAGCGCATACATGTACTTTCATCCTGTAACTAAGGATTCTGTGCTGATGAACATCGTTGGAATCTGAAATTATTTTAAATGAAATCAAAGCTTAAAGTGTGATGTTTTAGAAAAAAAAATGCCATTTTGAAAATTGTTAAATGGTTTTCAGGTTTGCCAAATGTTTGCTAATGTCTGTAAATTTTGGAATTTGAATGGAAGAATATAATTTTTCAAGATTTTGTATATTTATAGGCCGACAATGCCCTGTTCGCAAAGCAATAGGTTATATTATAGATATTTTATAATTAAAAATTTAAAAATGAATACATAATATTCTTTCACTGTAATAAAAAAATGGCGAATACTCATGACAATTTCCATTACTGATGTTTTTATGTTGTATGTTTACTAATGTAGTGCAATTCGCAACAAACCATGCATATGTAGTAAAGCATTAAAAAGGAAGCCATAATGTATATTGAAACAGAGGGAATTGTTTTTTAGAAAAGGAACAAGTGCTCAGTATATTTGTTAGATGATTGGGGTTATATTTCTAATAAATTACTTTTTTATGCCCATGTTCATAATATCTTGATACTCCATTTTCAGAGTTTTCAGTATTATATCTATTTTTGTAAGGTGGATTTGCAGGCCTCACGGCAAAACTTTTAAAACCTCTAAAAACTTATATTTCAAATTGGGAGCCCATTTCTTTCTTACAGTAACCTATATAATAAACCTATAAAATCGGATTTGTGGTCTACGGGTAATTCTGCAGGTTGTGGGTTCGAGTCCAGCCTGGGGTCATGGTGCGTGTGCCCTTGGGCAAGGCACTTTGTCACTCATTGTTTCTCTTCTACCAGGAGTAAATGGGTACCTGTGAGGGCAGAGATGGTTATTGTGGTTGATTTAGCTTCCTTGCGCCTAACAAGCAGTATCGAGCTGTATACTCCCCAGGGAGTTAAGAAGGTTTCAGGAGTGTTTGCCCATTGAAACAGGGAAAATAATAATTGTAAAGCGCTTTGACACCCCGTTGCGGCGTGAAAACTCTATTATTATACTATTATTAATGTCAAAATAACACATTGTCAGTATACCTCTCTGAGATTTTATTCTACTTTTTATCTTTTTTTCTGTTGGTGACAAATTGGTTTTAGGTAACTTTATCTAGTGTGGAGAACTTGAGGTAAGCAGTTTGCTGTATATCTGCTACTTCATCCTGAAAAAAATGAACCTTAAAATACCTATTTTATTGTTCAGTCACATGAAAACCTTTTAAAAGCTAAATGTTGATTTTCAAAACCCATTGAGATAAGGGCACTGTGAGGCTTGGATTTGGTAGATTTTTGTCAAGAATACTTTTGGGGGGGGGGGATCAAACTGTAAGAATAAACTGGAAAATAATTTCATTTTTTTTTCTTAATCGGAATTTTGCGATAAACAGATGCAGTTTATATATAATACAGTACTCATGTTTAGATCACAAAGTAGACCAAAAAGAACTACATGTACATATACAGTTATGTAGTATCATTAGTTATATTTTTGTAGTTGCTGACATTTGGATTATTTTTAACTGCATTAAAAAAATTCAATTAAACTGACAAGAAATTGCTGCGTATTTATGAATATCATTGGTTCGTTGCTTTATTGTTTAACTGTACAAAAGAAAGTTTTGAAATGAAGTTTACCTCATTTAGCTATGGGTATAGACCATGTGACATTTGTTTACCAAATTGGATGTTGTGATCACGTGATGCCAACTTTCAGTACGCGATTCTCCGCACTGCATTATCTCTTGAAATATTAATGGTTTAAAAGTGTTGACATATAATACTGTTTAATGTGGAGCAAATAACATGTAACTGAGCTGTCCATGATGGTGGTGCCCAATTTGGCAATGTCTTTGTTCAAGGGCGCTATAGTCAGAAGCAAGGGCGGATCCAGAACACAATTTTTTTTTGGGGGGGGGGGTCCAAAAAAAATTTTTGGTCCCCCCAAAAAGTGGGTCTAAAAAATTACGGCGTGGGGTTCGGGACCCGCTTAAGGGCCCCGAAAAATTTTTGGATTCTAGATGCTCTGTGGTGCGATCTGAGGCAATGTCTGACCACTTTAACCAATTTTTTTTTAGGAAAAGATGGTGGTGTACTCATTGCCTGCCTTTATTGCGATGTCACATTAAAAAAAAAAAAAATTGGTTTCGTTTTGGGGGGGGCCATGGCCCCCTTTGCCCCCCCCCCCCCCTGGATCCGCCCTTGGTCAGAAGTCATAAACCCGCACATGTCTTGTCGTCGGGGATCAATTTATTTGTTCCACTTTAAACAGCCTTTTAAGTTACCCACATTTACCTAAACCAAATACTGCCCTCCTTTTGTGTCGGCCACACTAATAAAAACATGTTAATTCCAATATCCCCACATTTACCTAAACCAGATACTGCCCTCTTGTGTCGGCCACACTTTAAAAAAAAAAGGTTAATTCCAATTTCCCCAGCCCTATCTCGCATTGGACAGGGCTCAAAGTATCCACCCTAGTTGAGTTTGGGGTATTCACAGTCGTCCCCTTGGTACACCTGGATGGGTGAATTGACGGGCCCATTGAACCCAGTCAGCTCCATGTATTCCAACATCTCGTTGTCGTAGAGGGCGTAGTAGGTCTTGACGTCACGGACCAGCACGAAGAGGGCCAGCATCTGGTTGTCTGAGACGACGGAGTAGGTGTACTGGCCGTCGACGACGGGGCCAAGCTTGATAATCCAGTCTGTAAAAGAAAACGAACAGATCAATCCATTGAACACACAAAAATAATTGTTTTCAGAAATTTTGCCGATTTTGCCAACCTCCCGCCCTTCACCTGACCCAAAACTTTTTGATATGCTACTGTCCGCAAGCAATATAACTCATATGAATCATGGATGGTACCTAGGGTTTCTTTAGCAAATGTCTGTGCTTTTTATGAAATTGGTGCCAGATTACTTACAGGGACTATCGCCAGGTACCCCATCTAGCGCCACCCGGAGTTTGCCAGGATCACTCGGGTCAGGGATGAAGGCGTAGCCGTTGATAGAATCCTCAATGCCGTCCCGTGTCTTGTAGTTGTTGAATACAGTCACGTAGGTTTCGTTGATTTTGTTGTCTGCAAAACAATAAGCATTGAATCCAAAGTAAACAAGTCAAGTACAGTTCCAATGAGTCTCGATGTCATCGAACTAGGGGGGGGGATATTGAATACAGGGATGTATGTGAGCTCAGATATTTTTGCGGGAAATTTGAGGGGGGCTGTAAATGCTATTTGCAGTTTCAAAAAAGGGGATAAATTGTGCGACTGCAGGATGATCTTCATCATTGCGAATTATCCTAACAGAAATTGATTGTCCTTCATCAATCAAGACCGAGAATGGACTCATTTTTCCTGTTACGAAAGAGTTCCAAGTCATCGCAAGTCAACACAATGTAATTTGTGATCTGACTTGTGAGCTAACTAGCGATTTGACTGGTTGACTGGTTGACTGACTGACTCCCCGACTGACTGACTGACTTACAAGTTACAACGCTGGTTATGCATTTCTATATTTAGTTTAAATGGGGATTTGATTGATATATTTTTTTACAAAACAGTTTTATGTTTTTATAAATTTATGAAATTTTATATCATGTGTAATCCTTTTTTCGGGGTGGGGGTATGACGAGAAACTTACATGTTGCCGTTGTGCACTCTGCTTGTTGCGAGTCCGCAAATAAATTGGACCAGAAATTGCCGTACACCTGAAATAAAGTACCATAAGTTTGAAACGTTTAAATCAAAATAAAATGATAACCTTTCCTGATGTAACCACACAATGATTGTGCAAACATTCAAAACAAAAAAATGGACAATTTAAAATGCTGTGGATGCCATTATTGCTAACTTGTGCGGTAATGGCATCACGCACTGCAAGTGTGCAACCAAAAAATCATTGACTAATCAAGAAGAAAAAATACATGCGATAGCCACTGAATTTTTTATTTTATTTTTTATATATTATCAACTGAAGTTGGAAAATCTTATGGTGTTAGAAATCACCTCACCTGGTACCACCGACCCGTGTACAGATCCACTTTGACTTCTTTCATCGTGTCCAAAGCACGCGAGTCTGAAACCAGACTCGCCACCAACAAGACACAGAAAAGCAACGTCTTCGTAGCCATCTTTCAAGTTGTCTTGATGTTTGATACAATGGATGCTCCTGATACTTTGCTGTGATTTGGAGAATGTAATTGAACTTATAATTTATGATTGAGACATAACATCGATGGGTGTGTGTGTTCTGTTCACGATGGGGGATTAAAGGTCCAAAGGGGCGCTTTGGTATCTGATAAAGGGCTAGGGGTACAGATTAAGGCGTGTCCATTTGGGAGCTGGGTACATATAATGCATTAGCTTAAGTGATTGTGGTAATTATGGCGCAAACAAAATAACTATTTTTATAATATTTTGCAATGATTCACTAGTAAAAAGTTGTTTACTTGTTTTCAATTGTTCATTAGGCTATCATTAGTTACATAATAGTTAAGATGTTTGGTCACAACAAAATCAAAACAATTTTGGCGACTCATGATTACGATTATCTTTGTGTCATTCAGTACCAACGGTATTTCCGATAACTAAGGGCCTGCTTATCAGGAGTGGCGGTGTTAAAAATAGCAACATGGTAGCCATTGCAAGTCCTGTACCTTAGTTTTAAAAACCTTAATTTTAACACAGCCTTGAGTTGTTGGTTTCAAACCCAACAAATTAGAAATCGGCGCGCTTTCAAAAGTTGAACATTATTATCGAACATTGCAAAAACTTTTTGGGAAGTTTTCATTTGCTTTGGGACTTATTTTTCGTTGAAAAGGATTTTTATTATTTTGAAGAAAAAATATTGTTACGCAAAGATACCTGAGGACACTTGAATTATTCGTTTTGATCATAATAAGCCCGTTATTTGATCAATGTTTTGGTGTGCGTGAGTTACGGTCAGAAAGGCGTTTTCTACAAACCTTTTTAATTGGCAGGCAGTGAGAACGCCTGAACTGCTTGAGGTCTGTTGTTGCCCCCCCCCCTCCTCCACCCCCTTCCATGACCGTACTCAGAAATTGGAGGGGAAATTGAAAACAAAGTGCCCACCCCTCCAGAAAACAAAGTGCCCACCCCTCCAGAAAACGAGGGCCTCAACTGAAAAATGCCCCTGCTTTTGGGGGCCCGAGTTAATAATACGCTATCATTGACATACTGAGTCTCATAGGGATATGTTCCATTGTTTCGAAACATTTTGTTCATCGTTTTGGAGGGTAGGTGGCCTATTGTTTTAATCAGATTCGAACAATTATTAGAAAATTCTTGGTATTTCGCGGTCATCACATGGCGATTTCTCACTGCCTTATGCTTCATAACTGGCCTTTATCCGAATTATAAACCCCATGTTGGTGATAGCAACGCCCAATTCACGTGCAGGATGTCATGGTGCCATGTGACCATAGCGGATGTCGATTTATGGCCATCAAAATTTAAAATATTGTTCTAATGCCGAAATATTACGAGAGGTTTTTGTCGCTGATCTTCAAAGAGATAATGGATCAATTTCGTCGTAAAATCATTAAAATAAGAGAAAGATGGATTTTGTTTTAATTCTTGCTTAAATCGTCACGAATTCAGCGAGGCTGTTTTTGTAACTGTATGGTATGCATAAACATTATTATTAAAATCTAGGCTTCATATCTGAAATAAGATTATGCAGGATTAAGAAGTCCTAATTCGCCCCGTATCTATAAAAAGAGTCCCACCCGGACACCAAGTCAACGACCGAACCCGAAGCGGCCACACCGTCCAGCTCTGCCCGGCAACACCTCGCGTCAATTCACGGTGAATTCGTTCTTGGTATACCAAACACGCCGATCTCCGACCATGTTGTGCTTCATCGTCTTGGCGGCTTTCGTGGCCGGTAGCAACGCCTTGGGAACCGTTCCCGAGCTGGACCCTGGCATGTACATCGGCCGTTGGTATCAGGTAAGAAAAAAAATCTCCCAATGGAGTGGCTCATAGTCATACAATAGGCCCCTTGCATGGTGCGCCCTCGCCGAGGGTTGGTGACATAAATGGAAGTGTCTATTCATGCGTATCGAAGAGGAGCAAAAGATCTGCTCTCGGATGCGACGTCTGACGCAAGGGGTCTATATGAAATTGGATACCGGTACAAAGATAAAAGGGCTCTGCTCCGCAATTCTGGCCGATATGAGTTGGAAACAATTTTGCTGACAAAAAGGGCTTTCTCGATCTCGTGCACATGAAAGGGCAATATCTAGCCTACAAAAAGTCTCAAATTTGTCTTTCGTCTGAAATATGCATGGAAAATAGCTTCAAACTCTTTGATTTATTGGCACGGAGTTTGACAGATAATTATTTTTAGTTAGATTTCGAGTTAAAGAGAATCATCGTCACTACACCAGGTCAATATAAAATGTCGATTGAGTACGTGAATGTCATATTGGATGGATTGCCAGATACACTGTAAATTGAGCTCCATACTTTTCTTTATACAGAGAACGAACATTTTTATTCTCCCATTTCATTCAATGTTTCTTTGCTTATTCATTGATAGATGTACTCGAATGGATGGACGGATCTGTTTTCCAACTTGCCTAATCCCCAGTGCGTTACAGCCGATTGTGAGTTTTCAATTGAACTTAACAATTTGAGAATCTAGTACGAATACTATGATATCTTTTCTTCAGAAACAAAAAAATCAAACTCTCCTATACGTATTCTTAGCAATAACCATAAACCAGTCAATATTGTGTGTATATATCAATTTACCCATACAGTTTAAGCGGAACACAAACGTGATTTTTTTTTCATTAAAATACAACATGAAAGATGATTTCATGGCATATTTCGACAGATCCATGTTTAATTATGTTACAATAAAATGTTGGTAGGAGACGTTCCACCCCTCTACATATACCCGTGGACACATTGAGGATATTCTTATCAATTTTTATTTTTTTTTGACATTTGGGCGGGACAAACCTTTTTTTCTATTTCAGTTTTACATCAATAATGTTTGCCAAATTCATAGAGAATCCAGAAAAATGGAGGATCCAGGTTGCTAAAACTATGCGGACGGACAATAGAAAATGAGGACTTTATGTAATCTCTTCTTCTTCTTTTTTTCTTTCATTCGAACTGGATCGCCAGTTCGAGTGAAACATTGCGTAACTTGGGTAAAACTTCTGGGGCAGCTGGGGGCGCATAATTTTTGTTTCGGGGGCACTGAATGCAAATGATATACATGTATAGTTTTGTTCAAGTCACGATTTTAAACTGAGGGGTGGCATCCGAGGGGTTCGGGTACGCACGGACATCCGCTGGGGGCACGTGCCCCCCGTGACACCACCCCCCGTAGTTACGGCACTGGAGTTGCTTTATGGTTGGCAAGTGTGTTTCTTTCAATTTTCCCCTTGTAGATGGTGTCATCAATGCAACTTATATCACCGTTCTGAACCACAACTACAATCTTGAGGGAGAGGAGGGTGGTATCTCGGGTTACGCCTACGTGCCTGACGTCAGAGAGCCCGGCAAACTCAAAGTGTCGCTAGAAGGAGTGCCAGTCGTCGGAGATTGTAAGTCTCTTCCCCCCCCCCCCCCCCCCCCCACGGGGGGTTGAGCAAATTTTTTTCCGTTGGAAATTTACGGTTAATGAGGCGGTTCTCATAGCCACTTCGCTTTTTATTCGAGAAGAATAATTGAGAAAAAGGTGATTTGAAAATCAAGGTTATTTTTGAATTGCGGTCTTTAAGGCTTTGCTATTTTTTGTTTATTTGATGTCCTCGTGATGAAGCTTAAAAAAGAAAGATAGATGGATTTATTGTTTGAAATTAGGCGGGTTTTTGTTCGCATTTTGCTGCCAAGTTTTCGTTTGTATATGGTGTCTGTCAGTGTCTCTTAGATTTACAACTGTTGGCTCTTTGATTACGGTAACTGGTGTTGCATCCAGTTGTTCAAACTTCCTTCCATCGCTGGTAACCATCTTCATCTCTTTAATCGTGCAGACTGGGTCTTCAAGCTTGGTCCAATCATCAACGGGCAGTACGAGTACAGTCTGATCACCGACGGAGAGGCCACTAGGCAGCTGTTCGTGTTGGCCCGGGACCCGACCGACTTCAACGCCAAATACGACGCAGAGGTGAGTGTTGGTTTTGTCCCAAAATAGAGAACAAGAGTCCAATTCAAAAAGATGCGTACAAAACGTGATAAACAGGAACAAAATGTTAGCTTGTATCAATTTCGTGCAGTGTGTATCGCTTCTGACTGATTTCGGATGATTTTAGGTTAGCACAAAAAAATAGCAAAGCAATATTGGATGCCTAAAAGCCCGTGGCATAAAAGGTACGTGTGGGTGGGTTGGGGGAGGGAAAGAGCTCATTTTCGGAATGGCACTCGGTGTGTTTAAACAATAAAAACTTTACCTCTCCCATTTCGAGAGGGGAGGGGAGGGGGCAGGCATCGAGTGGGGAGAGGGGGAGGCCATTCCCCATTCTCCCTTAGTTAACACACTGTCAGTACCTCCATAAATTTAGAAGAATGCAGGTGCATGCGTTTAACCTGAGGTAGAATTCGATAAATTAGTTACCAACGAAAACGTGTAATTTTGTTGCTTCCATAGGTCCAGGAATACCTGACCCTGGTGGGATTCACAACGGGCCCCAAGAAGTACGAACCCGTACCCCAGGTTCCGGAGTGCAAGTACCTGCCATTGCCATAAAGGAATAAACACCAGCTTCGTCAGTCGTGTTTTTAAACCAGTGTTTGCTTCGTCTTTATTTTATTTCTAAATGTGATCTTCTCATTTTCCTTGTAAATAAACTCTGGAGAGAAAGTCTGAACTTGAGAGAATAAACTTAAAACATTGCATACATGCTCGTTAATTATTTCAATTATTTTCTACATTAACTCTTTTTTTTTTAAGTCAAGGTGGTGGCATTGCCTTAGACACATGTCCCAATGTACTTGTGAAAACGGTTATGTTCTACTTTTTTAACGATCCTTCCAGCGTTTCTTAAGAAACGCGTTTTAGAGCCCAAAATGACGCGGTGCAGAGCCCAAAAGGGCACCGTTCTTCTCGAAAGTGTCCCTTTATGTTTCAATTTTGTTCAAATAAAAGCAATACCATAAGTTAATGTCGTATTTTGCAGTTGTCTTGTTTCTCGTTGTTATGTCTTTACCAGATTTACTCCTCCCGATGAATATTATGTTGTCTTATTTTATTCAAGTGTTTCCTTTGAATTACATGAAATCGTTAATGGTTTCATCGATTTGGTTTCATCTGATAACAGCAAATCTAAAGTCAACAGGGTTATTATGTCCATATCTATATGCATTACACGTGCGAATTGGTGTTTTAAAAATATCAAGAATGCGACCATTTTTGTTTTGGCAATCGGAAGGAATATTGGCAATCGGAAGGAATGTTGAGGAAGAAGACTAAACCCTGGTATACAGTGGCGTCACCAGACTTTTCAGTCTGGGTGGCACAGGGGGGGCACCAACATTTGATTGGGGGGGGGGCACTAAGGTGGATACGGATCGCCGTCCTGGGGGAGGGGTCTAAGGGGAGGGGGTGCCCCCCTCCCCTTTGGAAATTTTTCGCATACGGAGGATGGGCTAGATGCAAAATGGTGCCACATTTGATGCTAAATTCGATCTGAAGATATCTCAAGAAATTGCTATTTTTGAGGTAATGATTTTAACAACGCGCAGAATTTTGCAGAGGATAGGGGGGCACCAGCATTTGATGGGGGGGGCACTCGGGGGGGGGGGGCACTAGGTTTTCCAGGGGGGGCACGTGCCCCCCCCCCTTCCCCCCCTCCCCCCCCCCCCCCCCCCCCCCCCCCCCCCCCCCCCCCCCCCCCCCCCCCCCCCCCCCCCCCCCTTGGCGACGCCACTGCTAGTGGTATATCCTTGGACCAAATTTGTCGATAGTTATATCCTCTGATGAAGGGCATGATGCCCCATGATACTCCCAACCCCACGAAGTCGATCTCTGGACATAACAATTATATTCCACTCCCAACACTGTCATTTTTTTTGCATAGATTGAACAAGATCAATGCCAATCGAAAAACAAAATTCAGGACACTTTTTTCCCCAGCTTTGGGATCCAAAAAAACTGGACAGGCAATCCACCCCTGTTGAACTAATCCTGCATAGATCTGCATCTATAGCATGTCTCCAAACTGGTAAAATAGACCCCTTGCATCAGACGTCAACGTTGAGGGCAGGTCTTCATTCTATGTAATAGGCATGAGTAGACACTTTGCCCTCAGTGAGGGCGCACTGTGCTAGCGGTCTATACACACAATTAAAAGTCACATCCGACCCTCGAACGATTACAAAGTTACCCGCAAAATGTGTCAATCTAACTGCAGTCCACTTTATTTTTCCAGGATTTGAACTTTGGACTAGATTCATTATCTCATATTACAAAACCACAATCAGTTTGTTTGCGTCCTTATGACGGATGACTGAAATGACTGGAATATTACCGTAATCGAGTTTCCTCTTTCGAGATTTCTTCTGGCTATATAAAAAAAAAAACAACTGGGATCACTTCACTTCTTATTCCCAAAACCATCTGTAAACATCTGAGTTTCAGAGAAGTGACTGTTGTAGTTATGTACTTTTTGAGCGTGTTTCTCTTGGCGGTGTTTACCGTGTGCCGCGGGGACATCCCGACCGTCAGTGAGCTCGATCTCAAGGCGTACGTTGGCCGCTGGTATCAGGTAAGCGATGGAGTGGTATATGGCTGATTTGTCGGTCTTTTTGAATAGATTTTTTACTAAGTATAATACATTAAGTAAAAGATCTGATCATAAATACTGCATAAATTCTAATTTTAACATTTGGCATGAGGGTACATTAATTCGGTTCATATTTTGTTTCCAATTTTGACAATCTAATCACTTTGGAAGATGAGGTTTATTTCAAACAAAGGAGATATTTTATTAAGTATAACAGATTAAATGAAAGATCTGAGCTCGATCTCAAGGCGTACGTTGGCCGCTGGTATCAGGTAAGCGATGGAGTGGTATATGGCTGATTTGTCGGTCTTTTTGAATAGATTTTTTACTAAGTATAATACATTAAGTAAAAGATCTGATCATAAATACTGCATAAATTCTAATGTACATTTGGCATGAGGGTACATTTAGTTCATATTTTGTTTCCAATTTAGACAACCTAATCCATTTGAAAGATGAGGTTTATTTTCAAATTCTCTTTTTTGTATGAAACCTATTTAGAATTTGATCAAAAATTTAATGTATTTTTCATTTTCTTGACAGCCCTATCAAAACAGATGGACAAAGATCACCAATTTTGATCTGGATTCTGTATGCACTACAGCAGATTGTAAGCGTCTTTTTGTTATCAATCTGAGAAAAATTAGCTGTATCTTTCTCCTTGCATATTATGTTCCTTCCCTGAAATACGCAAACTTTTAAACTGTAATACTTTTGCAATGCTTTCTAATATTAACCACTCAAAATTTGTCACAGGTTTTTTGGAAAAAAAATCACCTCGCTAAAAAATACCCCAGTATCTAAAAGATTTATAAATAACCGTTGGCGCCTGTCAAGATATAAAATAACGCTGCACTAATATGATTCCAATTTGGTACACCCTCAATAATAACACGGAAAATTGCGTAAGTTTTTTTTCATTGGAGTGATGAACATGTAATGAAATTTTCTTTTGACGGTATGTTCTTAAATTGCAGACAAAATCATCAACCAGACGTTCGTCTCGGTGTACAACGCCGGTCGGGAGGGCTGGCCGGAAGGGAAGCGACGTGACATTGCCGGCTTCGCCTACATCCCAGACCCGTCCAAACCAGGGAGACTGAAGGTAGTGCTGGAGGGAGTACCGGCTGCTGGCGATTGTAAGTTGACATGAAGTTATCGTAAGATTAAATGAAACCTTGTTTTCGTCTCTGGCTCCGGTTTAGGAACATTTTAGGAAACTAACTTGTAGGGGTGAATGTCCGGGAGCTTGAAATATGAAACTTTGAGGCTAATGTTTGGAGAATTCCACTCGTTTTGTGTACATGGATTAGTAAACGATCATGATGCTAGAAATGGAGCCGATATTCAGAAAAGAAGCCGAGGTTTCGAGAACACCTTCTAGGCAAGATAGTTTACTTTGATTCGCATTGTGTCTTGGTATATTTGACATTTGATAAAATGACAATTTAGCAGAATTGTAATTAAATCAGTCGCAAGGCAAGTTTACACAATATAGTCCAATCACAAGTCAAATCACAAATTTAACAGTGGAGAAGAAATGACAAAGTGAAACCTCAGTCGCGTTTTTTAATATCTTTTCATTTGACTTGAGACAGAAACGTTTTTGTAATGACTTCCGAAATCTGCACACTGTAGTGTCTTGTTGGTCAAATTATGCATGTGCCATAAAGTATTTTGACCCAGTGAGTGCATATTTCTGTTCGTTATATTGAACTCTGACTTGACTCGAGACTAGACATTACGGACTGATGCTGTCCACAAGTTCATAGTTTGTTTCAAACAATACACTTATCGAATATTATTTTATTTTTCTCCCTTCAGATCTCATCATCAAGATTGGTCCCATCATCGACGGCCAGTACCAGTACGCCGTGGTCACCAGCAGCGGTGACCGCGCCCTCTACGTCTTGGCCAGGAATCCCATCTCCTTTCTTGACAAGTACGCCGAGGAAGTCTTGAAGTTCCTAGACGAAAACGGGTACCAGGGATTCCTGAAGAAGCCGCAGCCACTGCTGCAGGCTACCAACTGCGGCTATCCGGAGACGAGATAGATTAGGGGTCGGCAACCATAGCCTTTGGGAAGCAGGTCCAAATTTGACATCTTAAATGAAGGAACATAAAATAATGACACTTGAATTTAAGCCCAAATACAGGCTCTGATGGTAACAAGTTGTACAGCTCATATCCAGTTGCATTTCTAAGTGGCTCCTCCCCCTCTGGTCATGATGCCTTTCCACGCCCATCCGATCCCCACTCCAACCCCATGTCTCCAATTTCTTCAAGTTTGACCCTGTAATAGATGCGCCACTACACCGTACAGCCAGATGAGTAAAAAAAAAAAGGAAACCCGAATGTCAGTACCATTTTTGTAATGAAGTTCTGCATGTAGCACTTTCAAAATCTAGGATTTAAAAGCCCATTTAAAAGGCTTTCTAATCATAGTACAAGAATCAGTCACATCACTCTAAACTTTCAAGTTACACATTTTTTTAACACAACCACCGTTTTAAAATAACTGTTCTTTCAGCAAAGTTGTGATCCGAGGACAGAAGTTTAAAACTGTGGTTGTGTTCAAAATTATGTAACTTGAAAAGTACATAATTGATTTGAATGATTCTTGTACTAAAAGAAAGCTTATTAATTTAGCTTTCATATCCTAGATTTTAAGGGTGCTACATGCAGAACTTCATTACAAAAATGGTACTGACATTTAGGCTTCTTTTTTTAGTCACCCTGTGCATACTATTTCTTGCACTATAAAGATCGCTCGGCTACCACCATCATTCCGATCCCATGCATACATCCAATAATGGTTAAGTTTCATTACTTATGGTGGCTGGTACAAAATACATGATGATTCACCATATTTCAATAAATTAAAATACTTCCTTTAGAGTTTATTTCTTACTATAAGAAAATAGTTTTTAATATGCATTATACTTTGTTATTATAAAAGGTATTATAATTATATTATTGGATTGTCGAAGATGAGCAACATAATTTAAGTGTCTTTTCCGTTTGGATGAAGGAGAATAAATGTTGTAATAACTTTATTCCTTGTCGTAGTATTGAATTCTTTAAAAGTTCTGAAATGTGAGCTTAAGACATCGCGAATGACAAAGAATAAAAGAGGAAAGCCACCGGACTAACAAGACAGAGGTTTGGAACCAAATCCTGATATACTATCTTGTAGTGTATTAGTGAAGGCGTTATTGAGATTTATAAAGTAGAAGAACTTTTTTTTAAATTCACACTTGATGAAAAATATTAAGGTCGAAGGCTGGTGTATAACTGTCGGCAAAGGGGGTGTTACCTCCCCCTCCCCCACGCCAGAGACTAGGTTTGCACTCCCACGCCAGTTCCGCCTCCCCCCACCTCCCCCACACCACCACCAACCCCCACCACCCCTACCCCTCCGCTCCCCAGCTAAAAAAAATGGAAAAGGCTAAATCAAGGGATTTTTGTAACGTTTGAAACCCATGGACTATACACTCCGGAAAATGTCTCCCCCCCCCCCCCCCCCCCCCAACAAAAAAATGCCCCTCTGCATCTTAAAATATCAATCTAGGTTTATTTGATGTTTTAAACAAGTTAAGGAAAATAGTTCCACAGATCAGACAATGTATAAGAGGACAATGTATCTAAAGTTGATCAAAGGAACCGGGGAACAAAAGAGTTCAGATATTAGGGTTTTAATTGTAACGTCGAAAACAATTGGATCAAGTTCACTATCGCGTCTGATATAATCGAGCCTTATATGGTCAAAGGGGGCGTGGAATGGAAGCTGCGTGTGTCTTTGTCAATGTCATTTGTGGCTTCCTATTCCACTTCAACTTGTGTGATTGTTGTACATGACCTATGATCAAAGTACATCGGCCGGCTTACAAAACGGGTGAAAAGTTTAATTTCGTTATGTAAAGGCTTTATATAGGTCAAGTTCATTAAGTATTTTGCAGAGACGAATAATATATTATAAATCTTTTAAAAGAACTGAGTCAACTTGAGATTGAAGTATTTTTCTAAAACTTAGGATATTAAAGCCCATTTAAATGGCTTTCTTTTAGTACAAGAATCAGTCAAATCACTCTTGTACTTTCAAGTTAAAGATCTTTTTTAACACAACCACCGTTTTAAAGTAAGTGTTCTTTCAGCAAAGTTGTGATCCGTGGACAGAATTTTAAAACGGTGGTTGTGTTCAAAATTCTGTAACTTAAAAAGTACACTAGTGATTTGAATGATTCTTGTACCAAAACAAAAGATTCTTGTACCAAAAAAAGCCAATTAATTGGGCTTTTATGTGCTAGATTTTGAAAGTGCTACATGCAGAACTTCATGACAAAAATGGTACTGACATTTGGGCTTCTTTTTTTTTTTTTTACTCACCCTGTGCATATACTCATTTCTCGTACTATAAAGATCGCTGGGCTACCCATCATTATTCCGCGGCCATGCATGCATTACTTATACATGTATTTGCTGGTACAAAATAAATGGTGGTTCACCATATTTCAAGAAATTAAAATACTTCCTTAAAGAGTTAATTTCTTACTATAAGAAAATAGGTTTTAATATGCGTTATACTTTTTTATCATAAACGGTATATACTATTGGATTGTCGAAGATCAGCAACCCAATTTAAGTGTAGTTTCCTTTTGGATGAAGAAGAATAAATTGATCTTGATTCCTTGTCGTAGTATTGAATTCTTTAAAAGTTCTGAAATGTGATTTGCGAATGACAAAAAGTAAGAGGCACGGACTAACAAGACAAAGGTTTGGAACCAAATTCTGATATAAATATTTTGAAGTGTAATTGTGAAAGCACTATTGAGATTTATAAAACAGAAGAATTTATCCTTTTTTAAAAATTCACACTTGATGAAAAATATTGAGGTCGAAGTGTGGTGCATAACTGTCGACAAAGGGGGTGTTACCCCCACCCCTAATGCTAGAGACTAGGTTTGCCATTCCCACGCCACGTCTGTCCCCCCCCCCCCCCCCCTCCCCTGCAACCCTCCCCACACCACCACACTCCCCCACCCCAAAAAAATGGAAAAGGCTTAATCAAAGGATTTTTTGTAACGTTTGAAACCCGTTGACTTCACTCCGGAAAATGACTTCCCCCCCCCCAAAAAAAAAGCCCCTCTGCATCTTACACCCTATAAGTTTTGCAAGACATATAATGAAATCATGAAACCTCGTTGACAGGAAAAACAGTTGCAGTTCATTAGGTTTATCACGCGAGAGTAAGACGGCAAGAGGACCGACGTTCAAACCGCCACGTTTTCTTCGTAATGATGGTCCTTTGAGGAGCATTTTAATTCATTTACAGAACAATTGGGTAAATGTCAGCGAGTGCCCCTGAGCTTTTCCTTGGTCAGTGAATGCAGATGCTGACGTCATTGTGAGAGGGGATTCCCCCAAATGTCCTTGCGATCACAAGATTGAGATCTTGTTTATTAAGGTTTCGAAAGAGTGATTTTTGTATGAGCGGGTAGCAAATCTTGGGTTTAGTTATCACCAAATACTTGTTACAACTCGCAAGTAGTTCAAAATGAAAAGGGCTGGCAAAAAGACACGACTTTCTTGTCTCTATATATCCCTTGCAGCATTGATTCTGAAATAAAGTAAAGTTGAAGTAAAAATGAATGAAAGTGGATCTGTTCTTTAAGAAAAACGATATAAAAAATATTAATATAGTTTTATTTGATGTTTTAAACAAGGAAAATATTTCCACAGATCAGACATTGTATAAGAGGACAATGTATCTAAAGTTGATCAAAGGAACCAGGGAACATAAGAGTTCAGATTTTAGGGTTTCGTAACGTCGAAAATAATTGGATCAAGTTCACTATCGCGTCTGATATAATCGAGCCTTATATGGTCAAAGGGGGCGTGGAATGGAAGCTGCGTGTGTCTTTGTCAATGTCATTTGTGGCTTCCTATTCCACTTGAACTTGTGTGCAACCTTTGACCAAAGTACATATCGGCCGGCTTACAAAACGGGTGAAAAGTTTAATTTCGTTATGTAAAGGCTTTATATAGGTCAAGTTCGTCAAGTATTTTGCAGAGACGAATATTATATTTAAAATCTTTTAAAAGAACCGAGTCTGAGATTGAAGTATTTTTCCTTTTTTCCCCCGTTCCATTGTCACAATCGAGCACATAATCTTGGCCTTGCTCCCTCATTGAACAAAACTGACAGGCTGGATGGGCATTTTTTTGGCAAAATGACTTCAAGGAACCCTTTCGAGTAAACACTAAAACTTAGCTAAATTTCTAAACATAATTAAAGAGCCAGTACAATTACCTAATAGCATACTACATGTAATTAAAACACCCCCTCTAGACTAGTCACCGTGAGTTTCGTTTTTGTTTTTCCGTTTTATTCGAGCGAGTTTCCGCTTGTTTATACCGTTCTGACTGCTCGACGAATGTTCTTTTACATCTGGCGTGTTATTTTGACTGCTGCAAAAATTACGTAACAAGATTTAAGCCAGGTCATTTCCCCTGTTATTATATGGTCAGATGATACCTGAACAACAACAATGTAGGTGGTTTTTGTAAGGACCACCTTAAACCAACTTTTACACATAAATAGGCCTTGTGTATTAAATGAATTATGCATACATAATTATATATCAGATTGATTTCCTTTTTTTGTTACAGAAGGCGTATTAACTGTGAGGGGGGGTGGATGGCACTTATAAGGTCCTCATTTTCTTTAAATAAGTATTTTTCGGCTTTGATGTATGTGGGAAAAGGGGTACAGGCCTCGTGCATCCTCCCTCCCCCCCCCCCCCCCCCACCCCCGACCCTCCGTTACGACACTAACATGGGATTGCAATCTTGCCATCGTGTTACTTATCTCGGATTATAAAATCGGCCTTTGACCTTCCATCTTTATAACACTACAGGGAAAACATGTTGATATAAAAGCCTAACGATCATCTTGATTGTTATCACGCCATCCCGGCGGGAAAAACCCGTGGTCTGATCTTCTGAATGAACAAGGCCAACCCTTTGCGGAAAATAATAACTTCATTGCACAATAAACCTTGGTGTTGTATCCAGGCGCTAACACGCACGTGACTGTGTTGTAAGGTTGTAAGGGAAAGGTGAGCCTATTTAAGCGGCATTTCTGCCCATTTTTCTCACAGAATAACTCAAGCCGAGAACCCGTCTGTTCAAGTTTGAGGCAAACAACCACTGCAAGTTTTTCTCCAATTTACGTTAAATTACACTGCACGGTAAGAAATCATGGACGTGCTCTTTGCAGCGGTGCTGGCCTTGTGCCTGGCGGGGCCAAGTCTCGCAGCTCCCGGCTACGCGTCCCCTCCAAAGACGGTTGGCGAGCTGGACCTCAACAGCTACCTCGGAAGATGGTATCAAGTAAGTTAAATTTGTCAGATAAGTTGTATATTAGTAGACCTGGGCTGAATGACTAGCTGCCAGGCATATTTTTGGCATAAATGTATGCTTAATGCCGTTGTAATAATACATGTAGTCAACTGAATATGAACACGATGTTTATTTTTGTTTCTACCAAAAAGATGTTTGCAGATCTGGTAGTGGATTCGACATTTGAGAGAAATGCCTATTGCGTCACTGCCGACTGTGAGTACATATCTATGGTTTTAAATCATACTTTCTGCGTGAAGTAAATTGGAGTTATTGGAATAATAGTGTCAGACTCTGACAAAAATAACAATTATAAACGTTTCAAGAAATGTTCCGTTCGAGATTTCATTGTGCATGATATTGTTAAATACGAAGATTAGTACTGTGTTGTGAAAGTTGGTCGAAGTTGGAACTGTCATAAACTTCAAACGTTCTCTGGATAGAAATTTATTCTTATTAAAAATACCGAATAAATGGCATTCACATTTTTTAATGATAAACAGTGAAGCAACGGCAGTACTGAAATGCATGTTAAAGCTTCTTACATTAATACCACAACTCTTGGAAACCCAAGTGAACTATTAAATCTTCCCAACTCCTTTGCTTCGAAAGACGCGAAACTACAAATACCTGCATACACCATCATAACATGTCTTTCATCAGTTACCTTTGTTTTAATATTCAAAATATCAGATGCTCTGAACCCTAACAAGACCATCTCCGTCTACAACGCGAACACGGTAGGCAGTCCTACCGGAGCAAGGAATGCCATCAAGGGGTACGCCTACGTACCCGACCCCAGTCAGCCAGGCCAACTCTTGGTCAAATTCCCGGTCACTCCCGTCGCCGGCTCGTGTAAGTTTTTACAAATTTGAAATCTGAGTTCATCTTTTATTGTATCTTAAAAAAATTACATCTTTAAGATAAAATACGGCATCAAGAATCTAATTTACATCCATATTTATTGCCAGGACGATTGTAGATGAAATTGAGGAAGTGTGGTCTATATAGTCAGGGTTTGTGACTTGTGATCAGGCGGTCAGAAGTTCGAATCCAGCCGTTGGTCATTTTCCTTGTGTCCTTGTGCAAAACACCTCACCCCAACACACGAGTATTAATGGATCTCGGTATTAACCGTATAGTCTCAGTCAATGTATGCACCGACGAAATGAGTCATTTGTAAATATTTCAAAAATCAAAATGCTACTTCACTTCTCAAGTTGATTTCAGTTGCTGAAATAATGATGTAACTATGTTCTTTTCTGGTTTTCTTCAAACAAAAGCTCGCGGGGGAGGGGGCAATTTAACAGTTCAGTATTCCTCAATCTTTAGTTAATTTTTTATTTGACCACTCTGAAATCCTCGGTTTTTAAAAAGCCTCATTTTTTTCTTCCTCCATGTTTTTTTTAAGACTGGGTAGTCCAGTTAGGTCCCAAGGAGACAACATGGCGCGACTCGGACCCCCAGTACCAGTACTCCATCGTGACCGACTCCCTGCGTGCCACGCTCTTCGTTCTGGCCAGGGACCCCGATGACTTCCGGTCTCGGTTCCAGGCCGACGTGCTCCAATGGCTCAAGTCCAATCAGTTCGATCATTTCTACAACAAGCCTGTCGAGACGGTGCAGACGGACGACTGCAAGTATCCGCCAATGGGCGGTAAAAAAGACAAACTGTAGTGTAATGGGGAAGGATGTGGTACTTCAGTCAAGGGGAAAATGTTTTGGGTTAGAAACTCTTTTAAGAAGGGAAGGCAAGACTGTATAGGATGGAATTAAGCGTTACTTACTGGAAGGCGCTAGCAAACGAATTTAAATTAGTATTGTAGTCTTGAAAGACATGAAAAATATTTCAATGGGACATGTACATGTTATTTACCTATGTTTGAATCAGGAACTTGAGACATATGAATTTGTTTTACTCAGAAATTTCAGAGTCATTAAAAAAAAGATAGGCATAAAAAGTACCCTTGTGGGACGTTTCCAGTATCTGTTCTGTTTGCAGGCTTGCCAACCATGGAGATGATGACGATAGAGGGCGCTGTTTTAAAAATATGATGTTTCATTCATGTAATTATGTGCCTAATATTGTAAATGTGGCATGTAAATGAAAGGGAAATTAATTGGTCATTTTGATTATCAGGTACTTCAAATTTTTAATGATTTGCAATTTCGTTTTGTCCAGCACACTGTAAATACTTCATTCTGAAGATACTTTTTTTGCAAAAGTAAATTTAACAGGTTTTGTAAATTTCAATGTTTCAAATTTCAAACTGTTAAATTATACCCAACAGATTATCAATGAATTGGAATATAATTTTTGAGGAAGGCCTTTTAAAAGTGAAATCAATTGGAAAACAGCTTTGTGAACTTTTGACCACCATACACCATTTTATTCTACCAATTCATAATAAATATCTGTATTTTAAAAAAGAATTGTAAGCATGGTTATTTTATTAGTAAGTCAATTTTTTGCCTGCTTTGGATATTTAATCAACGAATCAAATATTACTTATCCCAAAGAGTTTTTTTTTTTAATCTTAATGCAAATGTTAAACGTTAAATGTAAGGGGAAAAGTGGAAAAGGAAAATAAATATACATTGTATACCATTATTAATTGTTTGCTGGATGCATAAATTGTGTATCTAAAAAATGGATATTTAGCAATATCTTGAAATAATCAATATCTCGAAACAAAACTCTCAAAACTTGGGAAATAAGTTGATCATGCTCATCCCCAAACCACCGCCATTTTTTCAAATAAATAGGCATGGCACAAGATACTTCTGGGGCTTTAAAATGCCTCTTCAGGCCAACTTCTATAAGTAGTGTCAAGTTGGTGTCTTATATAGAGTGTTTTTTTTTACCGAGATGATACACCAGTTAAAATATCTGAAGTTATGCTGACGACTGATGAACAATGGAACGACCAACAGAGGAAAACTGAACAGCGAGTAAAACACAAATCTAGCAACATTTGCTGCTCAAGTAGCTGTGATAGTGCGATGAAATCACTCCTTTCCTCCTTACTACGAAAAATTGCCAAAATATAAAAACCAAAGACCCTGCAATACTTTCCCAACCATTTCAGTTAAGTTCAAGAGTTGCATTAAACCAATATGTAAATACAGAAGGCCCAAGTCAACCAAAATAAAGTTTCGTTTTAGACTGGAAAACATTATGTACTAATTGTCACTTCAATGGAGTCATTTGAATGCCATTCCGAAATTGGTTTTAGTTTATTCAAGGACTTAAAAGAAAAATACAACATTTGCAAACGTCAAAAAATAAAACGACCAAGTTTTTACGAAACACCTTACTAGGATGCTGGTGAATGACAGTGTATTATTATCACCACTGCTCCAAATTTACCATTTTCTTCAGTCCAAATTTTGTTTGCTATTGGTTTCATGTTCATGAATGGGTGCAGGCCAGCTAGACTGGTTCCCTAATACTGTACACTTTTCCGGCATCTGTAAATTGATCCATCTCATCTTCAGTGGAGTCAGGGAACAAGACTACTTGAACATTCTTGTTTTTCTTGGTTTTTCCAGCATTTTCGAAAACAAAACTTCAAACATGTCAGTGTAACAATAATTTGAGTATCATACTAACCCCTCAAATAGTTCATTTCTGAAAATTAAAGCAAAAGCCAATGATGTACATTCCCTTTAAAGGTAATATACAACATTTGCTTTTGCTGTGATTTTCAGAAATGGACTGATTTGGGGGTTAGTATTATATGGAAAATATTGACAAACTGACCAGTTTCAAGTTTTGTGTTCATAGATGCTGGAAAAAAAACAAGACAGAAATGCTCTTTTTGTAGTCTGGTCCCCTAACCCTATTTTTAAAAAAAAAACGCAGTAATTTTTTGACGTTAGGGAACTGTCAGGTCAGGGAACCAGACTAGCTGGCTTGCACTCCTTCAAGGATGTGTAACCGATTGCGAACAAAATATAGACTAACAACATTTGGTGAAATTGGGGCTGTATTTGAAAAAAAAAAGTTTTTTTTCCAAGGATGGTTGGCCAACCATAGCTGGAAATTGATACAAAAATTCCACTTTTCTTGGAAATGACAGCACACCAGGTGCCATAATTTCACAGGAGCTTGAGACTATTACCCACTCACAGTCAAGTAAGGTATTTCATAATAATTTGGTAGTTTTGTTTTTTAATGTTTGCAAATGTATATACCTTTAACCAGGCGTGCAACTGGGAATTTATAGAGAAAAAAACAAGGAAACTCCAAACCACATAAGACTTTGTACAGTGTTTTTCAATTTGTAATGGCATTCATGAGAAGTAAAAAAGGAGGAAATCTGCGGATCCAAGGAAAAGTTGCAAGCCCGTTTAACACAAAAGTAAATTGTGCACATAAGTGCATTTCAAGAATTCCATTTAAAACGTCTATTGCATGGCCCCCTTTAATGTACAGCAGATAAGGATTATCATTTTTCATTTGACTTCTTGGACCGAAAGGAAATGAGAGTAGTACCCCCGTGTGAAGTCCACCATCAGGTCTTGGGTGCACTCTGGTAGCTCACCGGCAATCACACCTGGGACAGAGGGAATGGGAAATATTGAGGAAAGGAAGACAAAAAAATAATGTTTGCCAGAATATCAGCCATTCTATATTGGCATTTATAACACCTCACCCACAATTTCTGTGTCTTGATTGGCCGAGAGCGAGTCACGTGATACTTACTATTTTTGCTATCTTTCTGTGCACGGCCAAAAGTACTATACCTGTAGCAACCAAAGTACTATACCATTAGCAACCAAAGTACTATTTCCACGGCGCGGTATTTGTGTGCAAATGCATGCCGGAGTGCCTGTTGCGCGTTGCGCGTAGCGCGTTTTGTTCCAAAGAGAGCGCGCCACAGATCTGGGTTCAAACATTTCGCGAAGGGGTAGTTTGGAAGAGAGAAATACATTTTCCACCAATTTTGTATTGAAATTGAAGTTTATTTCAACTGTGTTCAGATTTAAATAATTTAATATATTAAAATCAAGCAGAATCTGTGGGTGAAGTGTTATAAAACAAATATTGAATGCTTTATCTCGTGGTGAAGTACAACTAGCCTCCCTGGGTGATCCATGGAGCATTCTATTTTCCCTCGGCTTCGCCTCGGGAAAATAGAATGTCCATGGATCACCTCGGGAGGCTAGTTTTACTACACCACTCGAAGCATTCAATATTTGTATAATAGATACATGTTTTGCTATTTCCCAGGTTTGCAGCATTGCTAATGTTGCTAGCACCATGACTTTGGGCGTGATCCCTGGCTACATGGCATAACGGGCTTAAGGCTTCTTACTAGCGCCCCTTGAGTTGAACAAAGACATTGACACATTGGGGAACCACCAACGTAACGCTGGATAGGTCATTTGGTAGAGCATGAGAAGGGCAATCTGGAGGTCGCAGGTTCAAACCCTGCTCCAGTCAATTTCTTTGTTCAACAAGTGCGTGGGAATATCGAACGCACTGCCAACAATTCTTGACGTTCATGCGAAGACGCTGTGACTTGGTGCAAATACAGAACAAAATAAGGCCAAAAAAAAGAATAGATCTGCTTCCGGTTACCCGACCAACCCTATTTTTAGGCTGCGACCCTAAAAAATTTATCGGCAATTCAAAAAAAACAAAAAAAAAAAAAAAATTGAACAAATACAAATAAAATCTGTCTTTTCTGTCTTCACAAAATACCTCTCAACAACCCTTTTGCATCCAAAATGCTTGTATTTATTTGTTTTCTTACTTACATTCGCTTTTTTCAAAAGAAACCTCCGTTATTACAAATTCGCTTCGCGATATAACTACTTTGCAATTCAATGTCACGCACGGTGACTATAATCAATTGGCGACGACTGGTTCCCGCCACGCCGCGCAGGGGCCAATTTAGAAGACATAATGAAAATGCGGTAACCAGTCCATAGCTAGCTATGTGACCGATAGCGCGCTATCAGTACAGTGCAGGCCACTGTCAACTGGTCGGATTCGACATCGTAAAAATGCCAAGAAAACACTGATGGAGAAAGAACATTTTTGCAAGTTAATTTACAGAATTGATCTAGCTTGTCTGTGTATGTATTTTCTGTGTTCAAGAGTTCATTTTGAGATCGCACTACTCGTATTTGGAGTGATACATGCCGCGTGTTTCCCGAAATTGTTGACCGTAAAAACAGGTCTGTCGGCCCATGGTGGGCCGCTTGTCACACACGCACGCATCACACACCTCGGAGTTTTGGCCAGCTCCCCGCGTCCTGACTAGCGTTGTGCATATGGTGCGAACAGCCTGAATTTTCCATTATTTTTTGAAATTATCGAACGTAAATATATTCAGTTGACAATAATTAAAGGTAGGTTTTACTCACTTTGTTGCCATTTCGTGTATAGCTTTCGTAGTGCAATAGAAATAGTTCAGGCTAAAACTTCGCATATAATTGAATACCCCATTCAATCTGCATAAAAGAAATTGGCAAAAAAAAAAATTTCTGACCGACCGACCCTATTTTTGAAAGGCATGTAATCAGAAGCAGAACTTTTTTTTTTTTTGGCCTAAGCGGTGCGTACCAGGTGCAAAAACACTATGCACATGTGGTGTATCCTCCCCACTTTGAAAGTGGTCATAAAGCGCCCTCTATGTTCATGCATGAGTCCATATACAGGCATTCAGTGTGTTACATTGGCTCTAGTAACAACAAATACCACCCTCTAGAGTACTGGAGTAGATACCATAACCAACCTGGTTTTCCTGAGACCAGTGTGAATGGAGGAACCACGGTCTCCGGAGGCAAGTAAGTATTATCAGCTACGGCACAACAGTCCTTCAGTACACACTTCCTACCCTGTAAAAGACAAAAAAAGATTGTTAGTTTCCGTTGTTTCTTTTTTTTACTCAACGATTCTATTTTCCACCTGTAATCCAGGCCTTGAATTTGGGAATTTTTAGGGCAAGGCCACTTTGGCCTTGAATGGAGCAAAATTATAGAGGGCACCACGGCCAGTCGGGAGGGCACCAAGGCCAAACTAATATCTGCAGAAGGGGCACAGAGGCCGGCTAAAAGAAATGCGCATTTATATTAGCGATCATGTAGTTTAGGGCCCCCCTTTAGTTTCGATCAAATTTGAGCCAAAGGTGTTTTTATCATTCAAAAAAGTACCTTTTCAACCTAAAGCAGACTTCTCTAAGCTTATATTGCACCTGTTTTGTAATTTTGAACACCTTTTGGGGATAGAAATTACGTTTTTTAAAGCAGTTTTATGGTTGGTGACATGCGATCGCCATCTCTATTTTCGTGTTGCGTTTTTTCGTTGTCGTTTTCCCTCCAAATTCCCCTCAAAATTCGAAACCCTTCCCTCTATCTATAACCTACCTGCATGCTCTTAAAGTGGATTAAAAGTTGATTTTGTTCTCTTACGGGAATCAGGCCCATAATTAATACACGATCGCCATTTACAATGTCCGCTTTTGACAATCGGAATTCGGAACGCCATGTGCACGCGTGTTCTGACTATGCCCGGCCCCAAGCTCGTTTGCCTCGTACACGAACATCAATGCGTTCTGTACCGCGCATGCAAGCGCTAAGCACTGGGAAAAAGAAAGGCGGTTGACTGCACCTAAGATCTGCCGTACGTACTCCTGCTGGTATGTGTGTGTACGAATACTGACATATATTTTTGCGGCGGGGGTGTCGCTACTTGAAGTATCGGCACATACAGGAACTGGAGATTCAGTTGTCAGTGTACGTACATACAGAACGTACGTGTGTGTACATGTACATCGTACAGTGGGAATCGACGGCGTATGGCGGGACGGCCACGGCCGGCCGTACTGCGCGCGTGTGATTGATTCAGCGAGATATTAAGACAACTGATTGGGCTGGCATGGCATCGAAATACATTGTCAATTTGTGGAAAAACAACTGGAATCAAGGATTGTAGTGGTTTTAATAGGCTGACGCATGTTTTTGCAAAAAGGGCACGGCGGCCAAGGTAATTATGGGGCAAGGCAAAACTGGCCGTGAAGACAGGGATTTTTTGTGGGGCACCTCGGCCAGTAAGAAGGCAACGACGGCACTGGCCGTCGTGGCCGTCGTTCAATTCAAGCCCTGGTAATCTCCTGAAGTGATTACTCTGATCTATTTCAATCCAAATATCCAATGGGAGACTTTTGAGACGCTTTGCTGCAACAAACACAACTGTCCTTTACAACTGTTTACGTCATGTTTAAGCTAATGTACTCATGTTCAACATGACGACAAACGATAGAAAAGGGCCGGCATTTTTGCTGCCACCAAACGTCTCAAAAGACTCCAATTCTGTGAGATTAGTTTAGAGAAGAAACTCATGGCAAGTGAACTTTAAATCCAGAACCGGAAATTGTTGCATAATCAGAAATTCATTTTAAGTCTTAGAGCAAAGATGTAACATGTGAATGTGGTACTGAACCACAGACTATGAAACTATTGCTAAGCTGCCCTCAACTGGAGCAACCGTGCACAGCTGAAGACTGTACAATATACAATGATAGTGCTAAGCAATGCGTTCAGCTTTGGATGAACCATGTTTAGCCTGTGTGTGGACACGATAAGGAGATCATCACTTACTTTATTCAATCGCTACAGAACAGTTTCTATTTTGAAACCACCTTCAATGTTTATTTTTCTCCCAAATGATACCATGTCAGGCGGAACATTCCACAGGGTATTTGATACCAGTCCACTTTGAGTAAGCTTTCTGTCATTAAATCGGTAGGTACTTTTTCGGGTAATTGCAAATGATCTTACATGACATTAAGCAGGTAGGCATTGTGAAATAAAAGTATACTTACTATGACACAATTTTTTCCAATGTGTACATAGGAACCCACTTGTCCTGCATTAACAATGCAGTCTTCTTCAATAAACACATGGTCTCCGATGTGTAGAGGAAAGAATGCCACACTGAAAAATATAATCACACAAAAAAATGTTATTCCTTATCATACCTAACTATAACAGTATCATACTGGTTTTACGTCAAATCCTCCTGACGTATTCTGATGGATCAGAGAGAATTTGGGTTAACCTGATTAGTGATCTGATACACCGTGCCCTCTGGAGACATGCACACAATAGGGAACAAAAGATTGTATACATCTCCACAGGGCAATTTCTATAGATGAATATGTCTCCACAAGGTTTTCACGAAATAGATTATTGATTTTACTCAAAAACTAGGAATTTCCAAGGTATGTTGATCTGTCGCAAATGGTCGAGTTTTAGACAAGGGATATTAAGTCCGAATTTCAGCCAAGGAAATTAATTCTGGTTAAAATAAGAGCATTTTGAAACTGTACTTTGAAATTCGAAAACTTTAGTACACAAGAACAAAGAAATGTCTCCACAAGGATACAAATTTCAGTATGTGTGTGCCGAAACATTTGAAATATAACATGTTGAGATAAACAGTTCAACTAAAGCTAAACCTACTTTTTTTCAGATCATCGGGTGGGTTGGGAGGATTTTGGAGGATTGAGGAAGGTACGGCCTAGCCACTGGAACTTCCACAATCAATATACTGCTCTTCAAACGTAGAAAGAGTGTACAATTGAATTCTGATACAGGTGGATTTTGGTGGATTTTATAGGAAAGGTTCCTTGAAAACAAAAACGCCTAGGGAGTTTTATTTAAATACAAATTTTGGCCCTTGACAAAGTTTCTGCTGGGATTAGAACGTAAGGCTCTCAAATTTGTTTTGCCTTAAATCCAGTCAGCGAGCAGTTTGCAGCAGTTTTATTTATTTTTATTTTTCAAAATCTAAGTGTACTAGAAACAAAATCTCAAACACAGGTTTGATTTATTGCTTACCCTTTACTGAACTTCTTGAAGGGTGGACGGATGACTGTCCTTTGACCTATGACACAGCTCCGGCCAATTCGGACGTTGGCCAGGTCACCTCTGATGATGCAGTCGGAATGGATGATGGACTACATTGAAATTAAACAACTCAATGTTATACATTTGGTCCTTTGTTTTCATTTGACATTTGAGGGAAGGTGGCCAGGGAGGGAAAGCTGTGGATAGTTTGTCATGATCGTCATACATATGTAAAACAAAATTGGCAGAATGTTCTCATTCAGTATCAAGACTTTGGAAGAAAGTATGAGGTTTCGCCCCTATGAGCTCCGTGCGCTACCAAAAGAGGGCGCCCTTTCACCTAAACAACTACGTCGCATGGGCGGGACATTTCGCTGGAAGACGCGCACCGTTCCTTGTGTGTGACGCACGTACACCAGGGATGTGTACTAGTTACACGCAGTGGCCGCTCTTCGCGGCAAATGAATTGCAGTCAGGCAAGATGGCGTCGGTCGGTCACCCCCAACTGTACTTCCTTTGCCGGTGAGGGGGTACTTGTGAACAGATGGTACCACTGTAACTGTTTGACCTAACTATAGCAATGACACCAACTACAGTTACCTTGGTACTTTGTAATTTACCAATTCAAGTATCATAAAGAGTGACTTCATCTGATGTTTATTATTTGTTGGGTAGGTAGTTTGCTATTCATAATCACTCTTGGAGGACGACTGCATTAAGGAGTGCATCAGAATTATACAATCACAGATGTCAGATGTAACAGGGACAGGGAAAAAAGTGGACCCAAATTTGTGCGATTGGTTGGTCCTCTCGGAAATCTGAGACTACTTCCTTTTTCAAAGTAATCCTCTAGAGCCTTGAATAAAAAAGAAAAGGCTATTGACTGATGGCAGCGCAATCGACCGATAGCACAGCACAATCAAGCAATAGCACCCAACATCTCTGTGCAAGAAAGAATCACCTTGCCATTGAGTACTATGTTTTGACTGCCGCACAGGACCGACTGCCGGCTGACTTTGTTCCCTGATGCCTGGAATAAAACACAGTTAAATAATAATGTCATGAATGTTGTTACATATTTTGATGATGTGAAGATGTTGCAAAGACAATAACACTTAGGTTTGATTGTTTTAAAGGGAAAATACAACATTTGCAAACATCAAAAAATAAAACAACCAAATTATTTTGAAATACCTTGCTGGACTGTTAGTGAATGACAGTGTAAAGCATCCTGAAAAATCATGGCACCTGGTATACTGTCATTTTCAAGAAAAGTGGTATTTTTGTATCAATTTCCAACGCTGGTCGGCCGACCACGTTGGAAAAAACTGGCTTTTTTTCAAATACTGGCCCCAATTGACCATCACATTTGTTTGCAATCGATTATACACCTATGACAGGTACAAGCCAGCTAGACTGGTTCCCTGACCTTACAATTCCCCAATGTACATAAACTGCTCTGTTTCTTCTTAAATGGAGTCAGGGAACCAGACTACAGGAAAAGTATTGTTTTTCCTGGTTTTTATAGCATTCTCGAACCCAAAACCTCAAAAAAGTCTGTGTAACTATATTTGCTATATATTTCCAACCCCCCAATTCCATCCATTTCTGAAAATTACAGCAAAAGCAAATGATGTATTTTCCCTTTAAGCATCAAATTTAACATTGTGCATTGGTACGGCTGTTGCCCGTCATTCAGTTTTGGTCAAAAGTGCGCCCGCATCCATGCACTTTTGACCAAAACTGAATGACAGGCAACAGCCGTACCAATGCACATTGTCAAAATTTGATGCAAGCTAGTGAGGGTGCGATTATCACAACCCATGACGTCATGCAGCATGACGCTGTTGTGAACAATGGCAGCAAAAGTCGTCCGAATTCAACTCGAAATTAAAGATAACTAGACCTCTGACGGTGCAGAATTTAAAGTTCTGTTGCTATTAAGCAGTTGCAGACGGTATTGTGTGAGGATAAAGTGACAAAATAATTGCAATTTCAAATTGATTTTCGGCTCCCCTAGCAACGGACTGTCCGTGCACAGACCATATTATGTGGGATGTGTGACTGTAGATACGGAGGTAGTCCAGTATTTCAGTCACATTTATGGGACTATTCCCTACAGTGACCTATCAGCCATCAAAAAGGGATAATATGTCCTAAAAAAGTCAAATTTAGCAGGGGAAATATAGAAGCATTTACTGAGAAAACACTTAGAAATTGTCAGACCAGTCTCATGCAAGTGAGTCACAGGGTTTGTGCACAGAGTGACAAGTGATGTCCAGGTATGGGAATCTTTCCAATACTTTAAAAATGCACTCAACTCTCCATAGACTTTATACACTACCAAAGAAGTGGATACTACATTCTTTCCAATGATCGCTTAATTAATTAATCTGAAATTAAACTCAAGTTGTAGGCCTAGGAATAGGATAGAAAATAAAAAAATTGGTTCACTGCGCCACCATTGATCACCGGGTATCGGCAATGACTGGATTGTGCACACGAATTACCTCGCTTCGACGCTTTGCATTTGACAATTAATTTTCTAAAAATGACACAAAATATGACCACCATAATAAACTTAACTGTTTCTATGTACTCTGCCTTGACGTAAAATGCGTCTGGGGGTTCCATAGCTTCTTATAATGGTGTTAATTTAGAGCATTTCTCTTACAGTTCGCTGTACCTATCGAGCACTGTGTCACCGAAAACGGTAGCGTCAGTATCACACTGGGAGGAAGGTACACTTATCATAATTTATAGCGTCAGTATCACACTGGGAGGAAGGTACACTTATCATAATTTATGCCTACGTCACCAAGTCGATGAGCAGGTCGTATGACGTTGCTAGAACATGAATTATGCAGATCCGTGCCAACAACGGCCGAGGCATGCATGCGCCAGATGAAAGCGCTGGCTCGTATGCAAACGATAGCCTAGCAAAGCTGACCGTCAACTCAAGATAGCGGCGGTTTATTCCCCCATGGTCGAACTAGCCCGTTTTGGCGAGTCAAACATTATTAGTACAGCTACGGGCAAAGATGAAAAGAAAGGAAGGAATAAATCATTGCATTCAGAAAGCAAATCTGTTGCTGTATCAATTTATGGTTAAATAGATCTGTTTATTAAAACACTGACGAGATTGCCTTAGGATACTAAAAAAAAAGGACAACGCAGCGGGCAAGCACAGTAACCGGCCCTGATCAAATTACATTACATTTGAACGGCATAAAAACAAAAACGACATCGACAATGCATTTTTTCTTTCTAGTTTATTCATTTTTGTAGATAAAGGATCTTGATACAATATTATTCCCGTTCCTTTTTTACGAAACTTTCAGTTTTGATATCCATGTCCATGCAAACTTACAACTTGGAATTGTACGTGCCCGTAAAGTAGTTTAAAAACACTGAGCAATGTCAGTAATGTTCATCAACTTTTTCGTTTGCAACAAAAGTGCTAAAAACTTAACTTGGCCGGCCGGTGCTTAATTGAACAACTAACCTGATTGCAACTTCGTGAAACATCACCACTGAGAAATAACTTGAACCTCAGTTTAAAAGTTAAAAATATTCAACAAAGTTCTTTTGAAGGCCCATCTTTAAAAAAAAAGTGGATTTTATAAATCACATATTTTGTTTGCGAATTGCTAATGACTAGAGCTTGTTGTTGAAACAAGTATTCTGTGTCAATTTCTTCGTTGTTCCAAGCAGTCAGAATGATGCACAATAAATTGCTTTTTTTTGACGAAACAGGTTTCTAGGGTCATTGCGTTTTAATGGTGATATTATTTGAACGGATTGAGCAATTTCAGTAATTTCTTTTTTTATCTAAAAGTAGTTTCTGAAATAGGTTTTCCAGTCATTATACTTATTTTGGTGCTACATATTTTTTTTTAAATATGAAATATATTTTTGGAGGTTTTGGTTCAGCTTCTTTTTTTTTAAACTCACCCTGCACTGCTGTTTAATTTAAATAAATGAAACGAGAACTGTTTTATACTCGAGGCTTCTGCACAGTTTTCAGGAGCCGCGTCAGTCCACGACGCGGCCGCGCTAGTATAGTATAGCGCCGTGCATGCGATGCACGTGTTCGCAATAAGGTATGTATTATGGTATGCATCTACTACCATCATCCGGGACATCCATGTGCATACGTACTGCATAATTCATGTTTCCAGTGATGCTAAATGACATCCGTGGCGAAATGGTGACGTAAGCATAAATTATGATAAGTGTACCTTCCTCCCAGTGTGATACTGACGATACCCACCGAAAAGGATCGATTAAGATTGATAACCCAGTGGCGCTTGAGGGCGCTGTTGAAGCTGTCTGCATAATTTTTTTTGACAGGCCATGGCCTCGACTACTCGGACGCGCGTTGATGGAGAAAGAATCGAATAATTCGAAAGAGGAAAAAATGCTATCCTCCAAAATTGGCCAAGAAAACAACAGCACAGGTGAGCATCTCTTCGACTACATAACCATTTTGAAGGTCATATTATAGTGTTTTGTTTGTTGTCAAAGGATTAACACTTTTTTTTCTTCTTTCTTTTTGGACCGGAATGAATTTATCAACCAAAGCTAGGTCTACCGTAAAAAAAAGTTCCCGATTTCAATGTTGCAAGCACCCGGCCGGATACATCAAAGCAACGGAACCATTCAGAGACACTGCCAGAGGGAATGGTAACCGCCCATCCCCATGGGCACATCCCCCGCCCACCATCGACAGCCAAGAAGATTCCTCATTCAACCTCGGAACCTCCAGTAGGAGTAACCCAGGACCTGCCGTCTCCGAGTCAAGGACCCCTCACGAGATTGGCCGACACCCCTACCCCCGCCCCTACCCCTGCCCCTGATCCTACCCACGGCTTCGTTGCAAGTTTCAGTTTCGTCGGTACCATGCTGCTCATCTGTGGAACCATCCTCATCCTGATTTCATCCCCGTCGCAAAGAGCCTACCCAAGCCATCGGGACTCCAAAACATCCACCGTGACAAACGATGGAACCTCTCCGGGCATCCAGACAGTTTTCCCCGGTGTGACCGTCGGCATCGCCCTGCTGTGTCTGGGGATTTTTGCTTATGTAACAGCCGTCACGATCTACTTCAAAGGAAACTGTCTTCATCAGGCAACAGAAAATGAAGTGTCCCAACGAAATATCGACGGCGGTCTTTCGCCCCGTCACGTGCCGGCAGTGCAGGCAACGCCTTTGCGCCGCCCGTACATGGAATTTCGAGTTGTGCTAGTCCCGTTGAGAAGTTATCAAGAATATGAATTATGAAAAGAAAATTATTATCAACGTGAACCGAAAGCATCACTTTTGGCCTAAATATTATTTCCTTTCCAAAATACTGCGATGATATTGTGTTTTAAGTTGACTAATAACATTTTACATAATGACTTGTCAGACGCTGGGTTTAAAAAAAAACATTTAAATAGGTAACGCATTGAAACCGACTTGACGCCCAAAAAAATGAACTTGGATTTCTCTTTCTAATTCGCGTGAAGTCACGTGACCTTATAATTTTGTTTTTACAGCTCCACATTTCTACGTTAAAATTGAGTATTTAAGAATAAATTTAACCACTCATTATAAATTCATGAAACATTGTTATCTTTATTTTGTCATCTGCCGTTGGCTTCCAGCTATATTTAGCAGCTTGTGCTGACCGTCATAATTAACACGTTTTGTTCTATCGTAACAAAACAGCCTGGTAAGCTTTGTTTACATCACTGTGTTAGAGACATAGAGCTATATTAAATATAATGTAGCTCTATGGTTAGAGATGAATGTTTCATGAAATAAAAACATTGATACACTGAACGTTTGTGATGTAGGCCTAGTAAGATATCCATAGCAATACAGTATAGGCCTAAGCTTTTGTCAAACTGGATGTAAAATGATGAAAAAAATAATATGGACAATCGGGTCAGCAACAATAATATTAATACCGATGTGCAATGTAAGCGTTGATTGAGCTATGGGCGCCTGATAGGTCGTCACCGGTCTCTGGGCTGTAACCGCCCAGATAATAGTGGCATATTATAAGAAGGATCCAAAGGGGGCACTTATATATAGGGACCCAATTTCTGGAAGGGGCACTCAATGGGATTTTTTGGGGAAAAAAAACTTTTTTATTTCTCCAGATTCTGAGTAGGTAGGGGCACACGACAAACCTTTCATGTCTGTCAATCGAAAAACAATCGATCACGACTTTTGGTCAGGTGACCGAGGTATAGCTCGGTCAAACTCGGTAATAAGCACTGTGAGAAACAAACCAGCGGTGGGCGGAGCTTATGGCCTCGAGAGATGGGGCGTGCGATCTTAATGTCTCCTCTGGTACCTTTTACCAATAATCCATCAACCAAAGATGTGCACCAATTCCGGATTTTCAGGGCCAAAGGCATGCACTTTATAACCCTCTTAAAACAAAAACAATCTTGGAAAATGTTTCCCGTTGGTAAAAAAAAAAGTTCTAATTTGGAGGGATCGGTGCAAATATTGATGTTCACTGTTGACCCCTCTGATATTCTCTTGAGAGCAATAATTGATCAATCAAAGTACATAATCGATTAATCTAAGTAGTTCACTATAATACCTAGCGAGGGGCATTTGCAAGGGTATCTTCCAAAGCTTGGGTTTTGGTTCCCACAACATACACACGATCGAACGACCTGTTGCCAAGAAGGGGGGGGTAGCACTGCAGGCATTTGCTGTGTATTTCTGAGCGATTTTCCTATTTGTGTTTGCGGCCCAAGAGGGTTAAACCACCCCTCTCCTGCCCCTCTCCCCTCCCCCTCTACCCCCCCCCCCCCCCCCCCCCCCCCGTGTAGACCCGCCACTGCTATACGACAAACTTTATTAGTTTTCAAGGATGACCCGCAGGCGACTTAATCACCTTTTCTGGCTGGTATACTGACAGTTAAATCCGAACTTTTTTTCAAACTATTGTACTTTTATCTTCCAATTGTTGCTATTTTGGACACCATATCTATTTTTAGGCAATCACGTACTATAAAAGTAACTATTGAACGTTGGACTTGGACCGGTGTATTTTTACTGAACAATGTGGTTTAATAGTGGCCAAGTCTCGTCCCTTTCCGTTAATTTGCTTTCAAGGTAACCGAACTTTAGACGTTGTTTCGTTTGTCGAACTATTTTGTGGAACGAAGAGTTGAACTTCTGATTACTAATTGGTGGTAAAGTTTGGTCCCTCTAGCAAGTATTTAGTTTCATATCTGTGTAAAAACAGCATTTTTGGATAAAATGTGGATGTGAAAAAATTAAAGGCAGGAAAATTACTATTCACTATAGCTGAGGAATAACTGATGAAACGTCAGATAAAAAAGTGACGCTAATGAATAAAAAATCTGTAAAAAGTTCAAGGGCTTTATAAAATTATGACATCCTTTCTTTGCCCCCTTAAATGTGATCTAACCTGTCGTCCAACTGGCACCCACTTGAGTATGACCTCCTAATACCACTGGAAATATATCCGCTTTTCGTAAAAAAAAAATCAAGTAACCAATGCATCACTAGTAATACCATGCTTACAAGCCCTTGCCAAAAGGTAGGGTTGAGCTGTACAAACTCAACATCACAATTTTCAATTTGAGCGTCTGTTCTGTGTCTTTATTCAGAAGCACCGACCCACTAAATCGTTGACAAATATTTCTATTATTATAGACCTGCATTGTGCACTGACTGCCTTTGACACAAGGGCATCGAGATGAATATCTGGCTGGCGCGCGTTTTTTCCCCGCCAAATCTTACTATTAATAAAGTGAATTAATATGTGATTTTAACGCGTACGTTTAAAACCGGCTAGGGGCTTGGTCGCCGATGATAGCCCGACCCGGCCAAAGGGCCGAACAAAGGTTGACGGCCACGCTCATGTCGACGGTACGGAGTCTCGAGGCACAACACAAGCTGCATGGTGGGACACGGACCCGAGTTGTCGTCGGCGAGCGCTGGCAGTGAAGTGTTGCTACCGTGAAAATTTGTTTTAAAAAAATAGACGGAGAAAAGCAGACGAAAGTTTTACATCAACTTTTCGGGCTTGATCAAGAAGATTGCACTTACATGTATATTGCTCTTGTTTTAACGGTTTTAAATTACAGTTCTTTTTTAAGAATGGTTTTAAACATAAGTATTCTCTTGCCCCGAATTGACCTGAGCTTCAAAACTCACCCACTAGGGGGGAGGGGGGAAATTAGCTTCTTTTATTCAAATAAATACATTTTCAAATTATGACATCACCACCAAAATATATGGGAAAAGCAGACGATGTTTTTTACTTCAAGTTTTCAGGCTTGGTCAAGAAGATTACATCTTATAGCTTTCGTTGTATGGTTTTAAATAACAATTCACTTAAAATAGTTTTAAACATAACTTTCCTCTTAATTTAATTTCCCTGAGCTTCAAAACCCACCCGTCACTTTGGGGGAACAATCTAGTTTTTGTGATTAAAATAAAAACATTTTTTTTGTCTTCTAAATTGTGACGTCGCAGCAAAGTGCCGAATGTATAGCGCACTTAATGCGGAAGTAGACATTTGTCCTCGTTCAGGGGCCACGTTTGGTGCTGGATGGAATAAACACTCCTTACTGGTGATTTAACAGCAGTTTAAAACCACCCACGAGACAGGATCTCGACCAATCGGAACGGGTAAACTGTCTCAAGTATTGATTAGTGAACATTACAATACTAATGTCTCATGCAGCTATATATTTCATTGTATATCCTAACCGAATTGCATTAGTATTTTTGTGATTTATATGCAGTCAACAATCGGGGTCGGACTTCCCGTTCTAAGACACACTATTCTTATACAGCACACATAGTCTAGTCCTGGCTATAGTAGGTTCTATTACAGACAATACAAGCCCAGTAAAATTGATCCCAGGGTGCACAACTTCTATTCAATTGATTCAGAATGATTATTCACTTGAAGTCTTTTCATGCATCTGGTGTACACGACGGACCGGATTTTGGCAATTACGGGGTAATCCTACAAGATAGCACTGCCCGGGTCCCTTCACCATCCAACAACCACGCTAAGTCATAAGTGACAGTCGGTCATACACTCTAAAAACAACTCAATCAAAACATTGACTGGTTTTCCTTATAGTTTCTGAGAATTGACTAGGAATGTATAGTTAAACATGCAAAGTTTCATATTATGACTAGAAAAAGTAGTTTGGTTCGACTCCAATTTCAGTTATTTGCATATCTACTTTTCCAAAGTGAATAATACTGACTGGAAAAATTGAGTCAGATTGACTGATTTTTAGTTGCACCCAGCTGACCCTGAATGGCTAGTCAAATTTAACTAGTTTCTAGTCAAATCTGACTGCATGTAATACTTTTTTTAGAGTGTACGTGACAGTCAGACAGTGAGTCGGGGAGACAGTCAGTCGGGGAGTCAGTCAGTCATACGGACGCGTACGTAAAATAGATACGTTTTTACTTTGCCTTGCAGCATTAAAATTAAAAGTTCATCAAACCTTTTCACTTAATTCGTCCCGGTCTGGTCAATTTCAGCGGCTTAAGGTGGGCAAGTCGACCCTACCAAACTTTTTCAAAACTATTGGACCACAAAAGTTTGTTCGAGATTAACCGTGACCTCTAGATGACAATAGCCGACGTTTGTTCAACATCGTATCAGCACTTGTCAAGAGGTTTATCAAACACAGAATGGAACGAGGTGTTTGTTTAACATCCATTAAAAATTCCATTGTCGTTTTAGAATAGAAAAATAACCTGGTATATTTTCCTTTATGCGTCTTACTTGATAAAGTTTGCTGCTATATAGTCTGGTTACCTTCCAACTTCCGTACTGGGCTATTGTGCGAAGCAGAGCAGGAAGCAGACACTTAAAAATAACCTTATCTCCGGCCCGCAGGATAGGTTTAAGTTATTAATAGAACGTTTCAACCTTTAAATAGTTGAAGCGAAGGGAATGAATTCTTTGTTGGCATTGTTAGTCGGTAGAGGTAACTTCTCTATAGCCAGATCTGCTGCTGGTAACACTCGCTGAGGAGCATTTCTTGTGTTCTGGAAAAGAACTTGCTTTCGTCCTTGTTGCAAAATGAAGAAGAAATCTGCCGCAGGTCGCCTGAGCGACAATGGTACCGAGGCGACTCCTGCGCAAACCCCTGGCCAGTGGGGACGGGCATGGTAAGTCACTTTAATCATTCTTCAGTAGTTTTAAACCGTCGTGTGTTTATGAAAAACTTATCAAGAAATAATGTGGAAGAATAAAAGTTGAACGGCCCGCCCACAGCCTTACACACAATAGTCTTGTGGGAAGACCTTTGTTTCCCTTCTTTTGTTTTCATTTGTTCCTATTGAAATCTCAATCCCCATAGCGTTTCCCTTGTGAGGTAGATTGATTTCTAAAGACTTCCTTATGGGGTTTACTGTTCTATTGTGGTCTCTACCCCATGATGAGCCCTGTACATGTCCCTCCGATCTTCACGTAGGCCTATCCGTTAAAACTTTGCTCTGTGAACTCGTGCCCTACAATGACGGTTGTCTTCTTACTTTTTCTTCAGTCAATCCGAAACTTTCGGTCAAAAAAAAATCATATTCCGCAAGTCCCTTAGCCAAATAACATTGTGGTTGCTGTGCATGGGTAGCTTGAACGATTGACCACTTACCGTGGTATTTACCGCGTCCGTATTACAGTGACACGCGTACCTATGGGAAGTAAGCTTGCAGTTACACATAGGCTCATGTGTAACTGCAAGCCGTAGCCGTAGCCTAATGTTATTTACATCTATTTCCAGGACTGCGGACTTTCTGACCATGGCTGGCGTGCTATTCATCCTGACCTGTTGCCCCGTGCTGGTGTTCTACTTTCTCATCTCATGCACGCACTACCAATGTGAACTGACTACCCCGGCCATCAAGCTCTACACTGGTGACGTCACGGTGACGCAATTGTGGGGATATGTCCCCTCCCTGACCCTTAAAGCCATGGTGGTCTACCTCTCTTGGTTTACTTTTCAGGTAAGAAGGAACAATAAATGTGTCAAGAATTCTTTAAAAGATAAAAAAAATTATTGTTGACGCATTGAGTGTGGTTACTGTGTAGCTTTTACTGAGCTAATATCCAAATTTAATTAAGCAAAGCCTGCCAGTAAAGCCTCACTATCAAACCGACAGTACAGAGCATACACATTCGTTTATTTAACTCATTTCAATGTTATCTCCGTTATGCAGGTGTTCTTGTGGTATCTCCCTGACGTCTGCCATTACATCATCCCTGGCTACCGAGGCGGGGTCTGTCTAGGCGCCATCACCCCCGCAGGCAACCGTCTCAAGTACGGCGTGAACGGCCTACAAGCCTGGATCATCTCCAACGGGCTCTTCCTGGCCAACGCCGTCCACTTCCGCTGGTTCTCCCCGACCATCATCGTGGACAACTACGGTCCCCTCCTGGTCATGATGAACATCATGGGATACAGTGTGAGCGTCTTTGTCACCGTCAAGGCCTACCTGTTCCCATCCTTCGCGGAGGACCGGAAGTTCAGCGGGAACCCTTTCTACGATTTCCTGATGGGGATCGAGTTCAACCCCCGCATCGGGAAGTGGTTCGACTTCAAGTTATTCTTCAATGGCAGGCCGGGGATCGTTTGTTGGTCTGTCATCAATATGTCTTACGCCTGGAAGCAGTACGAGCTCTACGGCTACGTGACCAACTCCATGATCTTGGTGAACGTCCTGCAAGCCATCTACATCGTGGATTTCTTCTGGAATGAAGCTTGGTATCTCAACACAATCGACATGCATCATGATCACTTTGGCTTCATGTTGGGATGGGGTGATTCTGTGTGGCTCCCCACTATGTACACGCTGCAGGTATGTGGCAGTGACAGGGACCTAATTGTGGTATGGACGATGACACTGATGACAATGACAAAAAACATCTCGGATCAAGTTGACTAAAAGTGAGGTCGACAAATATGACACACGTGGTGTTAAGCATGGCGGCGATCTGATGACAAAAAAAGACGACAATTATGAACTTAATGACGACTATGAAGATGACGACAGTTACCCAGGTTATTGTCCCCTTTCTTACATCTTGCTGTTTCCACACCCCTTTACCACACCCCTACCACACCCCTTCAGAAGCAAAACAAAATTGTAAGCAAAACAAATTACTGTTTTGATGGTAAAATTAACGATATTATGTAAGATGTTGGCGATGATGAAGATGATGATGACTCTCATTCTCCTAGCTCTCTTATTCCTGCCCTCGTTATATTTACTTTGAAGATACCATTTAACTGCTTTGTAATAATCTAGACCCATATTTTTTTTTCTCCTGGTCACGTTATCTAGGGGTTCTTCCTCGTGTTCCACCCCGTCCAGCTCTCCCAGGCGGCCGCGGCCGGCATCCTCGCCCTAGGCCTGGGCGGTTATTACATCTTCCGTGCCGTCAATCACCAGAAGGACTCTTTCCGCCGTACGGACGGCCAGGCTAACGTCTGGGGCCGCAAGCCGGAGTACATGGAGGTGGAATACTTCAGCAGCGATGGCAAGAAACGCCGCAGCAAGCTTCTCCTGTCTGGATGGTGGGGGATCGCAAGACACATGAACTACACCGGAGATTTGATGGGCTCGCTGGCATACTGTCTCTGCGGCGGAGTGACGCATCTACTTCCGTACTTCTACATCATCTTCATGACAATATTGTTGGTGCATCGATGTCTGAGGGATGAGCATCGTTGTAAGGCCAAGTATGGTTCATCGTGGGATGACTATACCTCCAGAGTCCCGTACAGACTCATACCAATGCTCTTCTAATTGAAAGACGCCCAAAGAGCAGTTGCTTGCTGTTGAGTGTTTAAGAACAAAGATAGAGGGGGAAAGCCATGATAGTGTGCATGGATACTCTTTCGGATATGACGTTTTCTTTTAAGGGGAAAACCGATAGAAAGAACTGTACTTTTACTGATCAATTGCTTCCAAGTTTTTTTTAGAGACTTGCTTTTTTAATCACGAATCCAACATACTTATTTTAAACTGCGGTTTATGTTACTGCATGCATTTCTTAATAATATTTTTTTTTGAAATTTTAAATCAAAGCATGCATGATTACCGTATAGTTTTATGTTATAAATCTTGTAGAAATAACTGTGGAAACATCACAATTCCGGAAGTGACGTTTTTATTTGAGAAAAACCGACGGGAGAACTATTATTACCGATTTTAATTTTTTTAAACTTCCACGAATCCATATATGAATGATGTTATCGATTGGCGTGGGTTTCCGGCCTATATGCCCACTCTCATCATTGCAAATCCAAAGAAATAACGGTAGTTCTCTTCCAATTTGCAACAGTATTTATATTTTGGTAGTTTTTAAAAACTGTATTAATTTTGCCGATTTACAGTTTTCATATTAGGGTCATATGACTTGTTACTTAGTAAAATTGATGCCCTTTGACCCTATACAGCGATAAAGCCCAGCTATCGGATTTTTATTGGACTTCGGATCACGAACCAGCGTTTTCTGCTCTATTTTAATCATCTTGAAAACCTGCAAAATTTCAACATAAAACTATTGGACTTCGGATCACGAACCAGCATTTTCTGTTCTATTCTAATCATCTGGAAAATCTGAAAAATTTCAATATAAACTATAAAGCTATTATTTTTTTCTCCAGCACACTGCAAACTGTGCTCTGGATCAACTTTAAGGAGCATCTAAACTACATGATGAACATCGCTTTAATTTACCTATAGATCAATTGATAGACCTGTTGCGATCACCTTTCCCATATTAAATTGAAGCATTTTATATCGATGTACTGGAAGACTCTCTTGAAATCATTTTTGGATTGTTCGATTGTGGTATTTGAATGAACCCCAACCGTATTACCAAATAAAACAGCATGTTTCTGCAGACTTTGTTCCCATAAGTAATTCCCTTAACAATGACTGATACTTGAAAACTGACTAAAGATCCCTGTAACGCGGGTATGTTTGCCTTATCGTGGTATAGTGCAGCGTGGCTTTGTGTAAAGTTGCCACGTCGAAACCGACCGGTCCCCCCCCCCCCCCGTGACTCGGACTGCCTGGAGCGATGGCTCGTACTGCGCCCATGAGCCGAGATAAGGCATCAGCGCCGTATCGCATCGGCCGCTCACAGCCCGTGCTTCTCCCACGGATATTTAGCACAAACACGGTAAACTCACCGATAACAAACTACCGTTTAGTATGGGAACTATCAAGTTAATTTTCATTAGTTTGGATCTAGTACACGTGTAACATCACACCTCTTTGTACCATAAATGTGCAAGAATTTGAAATTACACAGTACATAGTTATTCATTGAGACTTTTCGTACAATATTTCAAGTTACACTATATTACCAGCGTAAATTTGAATCCTGCTGCTTTCTCGTGGCCGGCTGCACACAAAACAATTATCAAAAATGAATCTTTTAAAAGTTATGGTTCTCTGCATTTTTGCTGTATCCGTAGTCTGCGCTGAAGATACAAAAACAAAGGATAGTGTAAAAGCAGAAGACTCTAAAGATGTTGACGGGGTCTGTGTGAGCAAGGAGGATTGCGCGTCACAGTCGCAAACGGAAAAGGACGAAGAAGAACCGGAGAGTAAGTACACGAAGGAGAAACAAGAAGAGACACCAGAGAAGGAAGACGTACAGCCCAAGGAAACGAAAGAAGATGAGAAGGACAAAGACGAAGCAGCAAGTGGTGAGGAGGAGGGCGGGGAAAAGAAAGAAGAAGGACCGAAGAAGGGGGAGGAGGAAACACACCTGGTGAAGATTGAGGTCCTTGAGGAAGGCAAGTGGTGTGAAAAGCTCAAGGCGAGCAATGACGATGCGGTCACGGTACATCTACGGGGATCCAAGGTCTCAGATGGCAGTGAATTCATCACCACGTGAGTATTGTACCGATAACACTGGTCTATTAGCTCGCAAGAGGGAGAACATATGACTTGAAGTTTTGCATGGCGGATGACATAAACATATACAAAATTGAGGGTAACACAATCTCTTCTTGGAAGAAGTGTGTTTATTTAGGGAGAACATTAATATGCGGGTGAAAATATCGACAGCTCAAATTGGTTTCCACTTTGCCATATTTGTTTAAGGGTCTGAAATTGCTCTACGTGACTTGTGTCGGACATGATGTCTTAGACACATATTGATCGACAATATCAGACAATATTCATAAGATCGCATTTGCGTTTGGGTGAAGAACACTATACTCAATGTGTTACCTAGTACCTTCCTAGTGAAAGTTGAAAAATCACTCGGGTGGGACTCGAACCCACGACCTCCTGCTGCTGGTGCAGACGTCTTGCCACTCAACCACCGAGCTTGCGGGATCGGTTGGCTGGTTTGAATTTGATGTAAATATAGTAGCGGGTACCGCAATTAATATATTCAAAACATGTGATGTAAATCAATAATTATGTTTTGTCCTTCACCGACGTATAAACACTGTATTCTCAGTGTGTTATACCTCCGAGTAAAAATTGGAAAACTTGTTTTCTAACTTTCACTCGGGAGGTAACATACTGAGTATACAGTGTTATACGTCAGTGAAGGGCAAAACCTATTATTGATTTAACATCGAACAAAATCACAAAGTTGAAGCAAGAAAGAACCAAAATGGCAACCAGAAAGAACCAAAACTTGGTTACAAAATGGACCAAAATGGTTACCGAAAGAACCATCATGGTTCAATGAACAAAAATTGTAGCTAGAAAGAACCAAAAATGGTTGCCAAAAGAACTAAAATGTTTACCAAAAGAACCAAACTGGTTAAAAAGACCAAAATGTTCACAGAAAGAACCAAAATGGTTCCAAAAATATACCAAAAATAACGGAAGGGCCTTAATTCTAAAACGATAGAACCAAACTGTCCAACAGAAAGAAAACAATGGTTAACAGAATGTAGTGTGAACAGGGAACAAGATGAACAAAAACAACAAAATGGCAAAATGTCAGCCAGGAAGAACCAAATGCCAATTAGTAAGAACCACATGTTCATTAAGGTCCGATATCCCCCGCTCCCTACTTGCAGGTACAAAGAGGACGGCTCGGAGGGTCTATCCATCCCGTTCCGTATGGGAGTAGGAGATTCCATCAAGGGTCTTGAGCTGGGAGTTATCGGCATGTGCATTGGTGAACTACGCCGACTGACCGTGCCAGCCTCGCTCGTCAGGAACGGGCGGGAGGAGTTCAAAGGTTGGTGATCTCACCCACTTGGGCGATTAATAACTAATATGAGCAATTTGTTGTATAGGCCCGTTTATGGGTTTAATTGAGTTGCAATAAATCATGATGGAGTTCCGAGTTGAGACATGATAGACAGGACCATGATTATGATGTTTGGATAGGAGACTGTACGGTTCGAAAAAGTTGATTGTGAAATCAGGACTGTGTGTGATGTTTCATGTGAATCTTACATCACAATGTTGTGATGTAAACCTCATACATGGGCGTCGCGAGGGGGGGGGGGCAAGGTGGGCACTTGCCCCCCCCCCCCCCCGGAAAAGCCAAAAAAAAAAAAAGGAACAAAAAAGAAAAGAAAAAAGAAAAGGAATAGAGGCGCGAAGACAAAGTGGTGTAAATTTAATGAGTGGGGGGGGGGCAAAATGTCCCTGCCCCCCTTTAAAACTGATAAATCGAGAATGTGTTGAGAAATACAAGCATTTTTTGACCAAAAAAAATTTTGCCCCCCTCTAGAAAAAATCCTGGCGACGCCCATGATTTCATAGGACCACTCTTGGGAAAAAAAACAGTAGGAGGTTTGATGCCAGTGGGGCGCACTGTAGGAGACTAGTACATGGTTAATTGCCCGGGAGATCACTGGCTAAATACTGAATCTTCCTGTAGGATGCTAGCTCTTATCGAAGATATCCACATACATTTTGTAGTTCTTTCTGTGTGGTTTTGTGTGTGTGTGTGTGCAGGAGATAAGATTCCTAGAGGAGAGGACCTGACCTTCGAAGTGCGGCTCTTGGGGGCCGTACCCAATTACCAGAAGGGCATGCCCAACATGTTCAAGTCGATGGACAAGAATGAGGACGGTGTCATACAACGTGAAGAGGTGGGTGCAACCATTGATTACTATATATCACCTTTAAGTTGTTTTGAGTTTTCCTCCTTACCAATTTTCAATTTCAGCGTTTTATTTAAACGGAAAACTGTTGAAAAAGGATGAAACTGATGTTTTGAGATGTCTTTATTTTACAGATTTACGATGCAATTGTGGGTGACGGCGAGACGTTCCCGAGAGGAGCGCCGGTAGTAGACGAGCTGGCGGACGAACAGATGACAAATTTGGACAAGAACAAAGATGGCGTCATCCAGTGGGAGGAATTCAACCTGCCGAAGTGGGATGAACTTTAACTAAGAACTTTTTGAGACTTTTCATTTTTATGTTGTTTTCTGAACTTTGATTTTTTTTTTTTTAATCTACTTCATGACAAAGCCTGTGGGGTTGGATCATGGTCGGATGGATCGGTAATGTAATATCCATAATTTGTTTGGGGGCAATAAAACACTCTTACTAGGTGTGTTTATAACACGGACGTAAAAAAAGCCGTGTGAATTAGCATCAAGTGAACAAGTCTTTTAATGATGCTTTTTGTCAATCAGTTTTTAGGAATTTTCACCACACCACTCTCTGCAAAATTTACGTGTTTCCAAGCACGCTTATATTTTATAAAAAGGCAGGGTTACTAGGAAGGTTTATCGCTTTGATTTTGATTGCTGCATGGCAGAGTTGTTTTGACAGACTGAAAAAGTGATAGTACAAACACACACGTCAATTCCAATCAAACACTCTTTTTATTTGATATCAAATCAAACAATTGATAACGTAACAACCAAATCAAATGTACACTCCACATGGGAAAGTGGATTTTAAACCGGTGATGGGTTCCGACCGATGAACAGCTTCAAATGCGAGTATCGCCCCGTACATCAGTCATATTAAGATACATATCATTCAGTTAACTAAATTTTAGTTGGTTATCTCTTGCAATCTACCCATTTTCACACAATAAAAAAAAAAATAGGGGAAAATTCTTATTTAATGCATCTAGGTTCTCAAATTGGAGAGACGTTGACTGGTGAACTGAACAAAGTTCCCCTTTTTCAAATATGACAAGATTTTGTTTAGGTATGATGAAATGGGCAGAAAATAAATAAAATGTTGAACTGTGCAATCAATTAAAAGGGTTTCTAAAGTATTGGACATATTTTAACCAGACATAAATTGAAACAATTTCCTCCCAAATCACTTCAAATTAAGATCAATATTATGAACATATGTATACATAATAAAAACACACTGGTGCCTTTCAAAATACCAGTTTATAATTGATTCTCAGTGTATTGGTAATTTTACATTCAAATCTCCCAAGTTCCCTGTCCAGTAATGATCCCCAGTTCAAACAAATACCAACGTAAAAATTTTGAAGCACAAACTCTACCAGCGCATCAAGCAATGTGGATGGAGATTTCATCAGATTCAAAACAAATGACTCAGATTGTCAGATTGTCAATTAACTTGTTGACAAACAGCACCAATTAAGACTTGGGCAGACTTTGGAGAAATTTGCCTGACTCTCAAGATGATTTTCCTAAACACAACTGTTCTGAAACAGAAGTTCCCACTTTCTGCTGTCATCGTCATTGTTTTCCCCGAATCAATTCCAAACGTCTCCTATAGCATTTTCCTGTACAGAATCCTACTTGAGGGTTAATTATAGAAGTATTAATGATGACTATGCACTCAGTAGCTGATCCAGATAAGGTGTGTTGTCTAAGTCTCCGCTAGCTGCCATGGATAGCTTGCCATTGAATATCCGCTTGGCCACCTGATGCACACACAAATCCAATACGGGAGTTAAAAATTGGATTTTGAACATTAATTCACCCTTCTTGAAAAAAAGCTACCACCCTGACTGATTTTGAAGAGGAGAAAATGACCCCTGTTCATCAGGCTATGAAACTTTTGTTATTGCAGCAGCTCAAGATCAGGTCATAAGAGAGAGGCAATCGTAGTAAAGTGTCTAGCCCAAGAACACAATCATCATGTTCCCTGTCTGGTTCAAACCCACGTTACATTGCACGAGTCCAACACTGTAACCATGGGACCATGGCACTCCACACGTAGGTCACGTCGTGGGGTAGGGGTTGGGGTGGGAACAGGGTGGGGGTTGTGGGGTTGGGGGTGGGGGTTGGGGGGGGGGTCGGGATGGGGGGCTTGGGGGGTTGGGTGGGGGGCTTGTGGGATTGTGGGATGGGTGGGGGTGGGGGGGGGGGCTATTAGTGGGCTGGGCTGGGGCGAATGAAGGGCAATCTAAGCCTACCTTGAGTGCATCTTGTCCAGTGATGGCATCTACCTCTGCCATCATGGCTGCTGGTGAGACATAGTCCCCAGTACACAGGGCCTGCACTCCGATGTCTTCGAAGACAGTAGACTGGTTCTCAAGACTCATCAGGATAGAGGCTTTCAGCTGGTTCCTAAAAAATTACCAATGGCTAACCCATTAACACCCACACAAATACTTAAAGAAAATCATTTACTGCTTAATCAGTCTGATAAAAATCTTACAATTTTTCCAATGGAAAAAGACAATTTTAAATTATGGTGTAGTCCATTTTGTCGGCTGTGCCCTTTTTCAGAATTTTGACTCTTTGTGGAAAAAAGAAGAAAAATGATGCAACTGTAGACAACAAGTCAATATATACGCTCAAACTACACAATGTAGTATAGGCGCTTATGAGTTAACCTGGGGCCAATTTCATAGAGCTGCTTAAGCACGAAATTTGCTTAAGCACAAAAAAGTCTTGCTTAATAAAATCAGGATACCAGCCAAAACTCCATGCGTTTGTTGTGTTAAGTAAACAACAGCTAAATACCAGTCACAAGAAATGTACACCGCATGGCATTTTGGCAGGTAACCTGATTTTACTAAGCAATGTTTTTTTGTGCTTAAGCAAATTTTGTGCTTAAGCAGCTCTATGAAATTGGGCCCAGGTGTTGGTTTTTGGGCAGATTTCGGTGAGTGAAGGTTAATGCAGCAACTTGTTAATCAATCTAGTAACGTACTTTGCTCTGGAGAGGTCCTTGTCATCAATGTTTCCCTTGGTGACGGCACCCATCTGACCCATCATGGATTTCAGCATCTGACAAATACAACAACCATCAAGACATAAACAAAGAAACCTTCAATAAAATAACACCTATGATTTTCACAAATTTCTTTTTGAGAAGGAAAACTGTTCACTGGTTAGTACTTATTTTGTCGGCAGTTAGAGATCAAATGATGCTGGGTGTTCCTAAACCTCAGACACAAATTAGACAAACCTGGTGTAAGTGCAAAAAAAAAAAACCTTGAATTTCATTCTAAAAGAGCGATTCTAAAACAACGATACTTACAGCTCCCATTTGCTCGGCGTGGGTAACGGCAAACATTCCAAAGAGTCCAGAGTCAGTGTATGACATGTTGAAACAATTTGCCTGGGGGGGGGGGAGTTGAGGGGAGCGAAACAACACAAAATTCCATCAATCTCTTGACTACCATAAAACGGTCTTATTAGGAAATGTATATTCGTATTTCGGTTAAGTTTTAATCAGCAATGCATTTGAATGTCTCTCTGTGGTCTCCCCAACTCTCTCCTATTGGACTATTGAGGGGGTACTTGTGTACGGAGGCCTCAGTGGCTTATCTGTACCTCCCTCAATCCTGCACAATCCTCCTAAACCCCAGATGGATTTTGATGGATCTGCGAAAGTTAGGATTAAAATTAGAGATGCATTCCCTTTGCTATTTTCGAGTTTCACCACGGGAAAAAAAATGGGCTTTTTTTTTTCAATTTTATTTTTTTTTTAACCTAGCAATATCAAAGTTGTTCATTTTTTAATGAGACATCAAACAAGAGTAAGAATTGTTTAGTTACTGGATTATTTCTTCCCAAAATTTGAATTATTGTCTGCCAGACAATAATTCGGCTCTCGTAGGGCGGGTTCATTTGTGTGCTTTCAGTCCTTTTTTAGAGGGGTGCCGACGCCCAACATTGGAATAAAGTAGGTTTTTCGTTAAAACTAAACATACGATTTGAAAAATCTTTAGGAGAAAAATGTTGTATTCTGAAAAGCACAGGATTTACAAAAAGTTCTCGCCGATGAAAACAAACAAATAAAAAACCCACACATTTCATCAGAAGTCAAGAGAACGTACCGAGAAAGGGACCGTGGTTGCCTTGCTAGCGGCCTGAGACAGCTTGGACGATGCCAGCTGACTGCCCCGCTTGATGTAAGGTCCAGCACCCATCAGTTGCTGCAGGACACCCAGGGTCAGGAGTTCTTTGCTGCTCAGGGCCGCGCCTTGGACGCCCACCGCGACGTACGAGTACGGGGAATCTCGCTGGCTGCGAATCTCACCTCCTATTACAACAGAAAGGCCAAAATATTCTATCATAAATTTTTGTTTTGATTTTTGTTTCAAATCTGCCAACCAACCCCTGTAAACTTTGTGTGCGAGATGTTGAGACATCGGCACTAGTAAGCAGGAGTTTTGGGTTCACATCCCATCCGAGCAAGCTTGTGGGATTTTTTTTTCGCAAGCTCTCAAGCACTACAGTGGTCATCAAATTGTTGTTGTTGTTGTTGTTGTAAACAATTCTTATATAGCACACACACAAAATGTCTCTATGCGCTTCTGAAAGCATTAAACAAGTGTGGCTTAAGCTGTGATTTGAAATTTTCCAAGGATGGGCTGATCTTCATATGATGAATCAAATTTACCTCCATGAGTAAAACCATATACTGAACGTAAGGAAAAGTCTTAAAACAATATTTTTTTCCCAAGCATCCACTTTGTAACGAATCATGCAGAGTACAATGCAGGGAAACAATGCAGGGTACAGCCTACGACCTTGACGCAATGCATACTCCACATCAACGGACACTTTTTTGGCCATTCAGCCTCAATCCTACAAAATCCTCCAAAACCGCCTGGTTGATTTTGGAGGATGGAGGGTTGAGGGTAACTACATGTATACACACTGTACAATATGGAATCCGCACATGAACAGGGAATGGCACTTCCTGACCACTCTGAATGCAAGTCACCCGTTTGGTGCGAAGTATGCACCATGATTTTTCGTGCGCACAAACCCATACCACTTTTGCATGAACGCCGAGCATGCAGTGGGGATGCATTCAAGCGTCCTGTCTAATTTCTTGTAACTGTTGAGTGGATACTTATGCAGAGTCTATTCTCGTATGCAAACACCAATTAATCTGAACAATGGCGGAATCCCTTTATCCGGCCTAACTTACCTGCATAGTTGGCAGCTGGAGCTACTGTCTTAAAGCCTCTCTTGACGTCAAACTTCTCCCCAAAGGCCTTCAGGTCGCCGTGGTCAACACCTAAAACAAGTCAATTTTTGTTATCAAGAAATTCTTTAAGTCTTTGCAAAGACAGTGGCGACACTACTGAGTTTGAACTTTCAATTGGAAAGCATGGCTTGAGGCTCTAAAACACGTAGACCACAAAAAGATAACAGTTGGAAAGATAAAACAAAGGAAGAAAATGATTTGTTCAAAAATACACAACTATGGCATCAACACTAGCAGAGAAGAAATTTTAGGCTAACCCAAAAAATCATGGACTTGAAATTCGAGCCATTGGATAGCTTGTTTTGATTTCAGTCACACATGTTTTAGGACAGTTTTATCAACAATGTTCTACGTTGGAAGACATTATGTACATTTCCTGTCACCAGGACTTTTGAAATATTGTTAGTAAACAATATTTAAAAAACCTTAAAGCTGATGATCTCCGAATGATGGTGTACCATAAGTGTCTATTAATCGCAACTTATATGTCAAAATTGACCTCTCTTATGGGAAGTCATAATCCAGAGCAATATGTAAAAACCCTTTAAAACCCAACAGGTTAGTGTCAAGTGAAGGGATATGATGTGTTACAGTAACTGTGTCACACAGAGAGTCACTGCACACAAAACAGCACTTTGAGAGCAGTGAAGCGTGACTGAATCTGCCTGCTTGCCCTGAGCTTAACCACACAAAAGAATTGCGCAGGGATTTGAAGTGTTATCCCTACTCCATGGAAGATTGCTTCAAGGGAATTTGAAGTGTAGGTGTTTAACTCTATTAGCAAAAGTGGTTTAGCAAAACTTGAATGGTTGTGAAGTGCAGAAGACTAGGAGGATTAAATACATCACAATTACACCAGGAATTTTGACTTGTACTTACCCACTCCCACTAGAGCCATATTTTCGGCCGTGTACATGTTGTTGACGTACTCCAGCAGCATCTCGCTGCCTATCTTGCCCACCATGTACTCCGGAGCATACAGGGATCGGCCCAAGGTAGTTCTGAAGGCAGCAGCGTGCAAGTTCTCCAGAACCTCTGTTGAGTCAATAGAGCAGCAAAAAATTGTCAATACTTCCAGGATGATGAAGATAATATTGAAACTTTCATGTCATTTTCGAAGGGTTTCTAAATTATAAAATCAGGAATTTTAAAATTAGTGTAGGGCTGTCCAATTTTGGTAGGTACGGTAACCAGAAGCAGAACTTCTTTTTTTTAAACCTAATTTGGACGTGACCTTAGTCACTTTAAATGGTGTGAAATTCTCCAACATATGTAGTCTTGTTTAATTTGGGAGTCAGCAGTCAGGTTTCTGCATTGGTTCTTTCCTCGCCTTAAACATCTGTGACCCAGGTTCGATTCCAGCCCTGGTCCACATGTGGATTGGCTTTTCAGTCCCTACCTGATTCCCTGGATTTCCCCTGGAATAAACTTCTGGGGTTTTCCTCCCACCCCTAAATTAGTACTTTCTCCATTGTCTTCTCCGAGACAGGTTTCTCCAGGCTGGGGAGTGTCTAGGGTGATTTTGAGGAATCCTTGGTCTCATTACTAAGATAAATAATAATTAAAAAATGCTTATATAGCTATAGACAAAGATCTAGAAGAAGGCAACGTTTGAGGAAGTGGCCCCTATTTGATTTACCGATCTGCAGTTGGTCTCTGACGGACGCCAGATCAAAGAAGAGTCTTTGCCTGTTGTCCTTGATCTCCCAGGGTCTGAACTGCTGACCGGTGGTTGCTGCCTGCAGATAGGACGCGGCTTCATCTCTACAGGATATCAAGAAGAAACAGGAATGTAAACTGTGTGTTATCTCATAAAACCCACACAGATATTGCACAATAGTGGGGCGTTCTGGCAAAATGAGATGGAACTCGGCACAGGCCATAGTGGAGAAAAATGCAAAAAAAAACGAATGGGGTTGATTTTTTTTTGATTTTCCAATTTATTGAATTTGTAATCTTTTATGTCTACTATACATATTTTAAAGGAAATGTTCATCATTGGCTTTTGCTGTAATTTTCAGAAATGAACTATTTGAGGGGTTAGTATAATAGATCAAATACTGTTACACTGACATGTTTGAAGTTTTTTGTTCGAAAATGCTGGAAAAACCAAGAAAAACAAAAATGTTCAAGTAGTCTGGTTCCTTGTTTCCACTAAAGATAAAATGGATCAATTTATAGATGCCGGAAAATTGTAAGGTAAGGGAACCAGTCTAGCTGGCCTGCACTCGTTCATGAACATGTAACCAATAGCAAACAAAATTTGGACTGAAAAAAGTGTAAAGTTGGAGCAGTAGTTGAAAAATAGTTAGGTTTTTCCAACGGTGGTCGGCCGACCACCGTTGGAAATGTATACAAAAATACCATTTTCTTGAAAATGACTTCACATCAGGTGCCATAATTTTACAGGATGCTTTAGACTGTCATTTACCAACATCCTAGTAAGGTATGTCGTAAAAACTTGGTAGTTTTATTTTTCGATGTTTGCAAATGTTGTATATTCCCTTTAAAGAAATAGTATAATAATCATGGAATAAAAGTGTTTCTAAGGTAAAAACTGTTGGCATCTTTCATATTCATGACTACACAAAAGTCCAAGCTGCGGTCTTTTTCTCAGCGTTTTACTTTTTTGACATGCTGAACTTAGCCATAACTTGCCAATGGAATGTCCGATTGAAGTGCAACAAACAGTATTGTACGGAGAATTTTATTTTCTTTCCTTGTACCCGCAAACCCTCATTTCGTCCTCTGCCCAGTTATGCCTCATTTCGTCAGAACGCCTCACAATTGTGACCCTCCAGCACACAACTAGTCACTTGGACAAATTTTTAAAAACTGGGATTTTGCGCTCATTGGAAAGAACATTGAGTAAGCTTTCGAATTATGTATAGAATATGGGAATCAGACAAAATCTGAAGGCGTCATAGATGTTCCCAATTTTCGTGCCTTGAAAAGTTTGAAATAAAATCAAGAAATATGTCATTAACGTTTCCCAAAATGAACTTCTTAGGAAATTTACAAATTAACTTCATTAAAAGTGAAATACAGGCCTATTTATTATTTTAGCTTCTCCTAAATCTAAATTATATTAGATTATATAGACTTACAAATGAGTTCGTAGACATTGCATGGAGTAGATCATGAGATCTCGAGTGGTAGTGGCTTCAAAACTGGCACCGATCTCATCCAAACCTCTTGTGATCTTAAAAGTCGTTGCATTACTTGTTGTCTGAAGGAAACAAAAAAATCTCCTTGCAATTGTTGATGGCAGAGTTGTTATTGAGTCAGTAACAGTCGGTTACAAGTCAATCACAGATCAGTCGCAAGTCAGTCACAAGTCATTCACAAGTTAATCACAAGTCAGTCACAAGTCAGATCACAAGTAAATCACAAGTCAGTCACAAGTCAGTCACCAGTCAGTCACCAGTCAGTCACAAGTCAGTCGCAAGTCAGTCGCAAGTCAGTCGCAAGTCAGTCACAAGTCAATCACAATTCAGTCACAGTCAGTCGCAAGTCAGTCACAAGTCAGTTGCAAGTCAGTCGCAAGTCAGTCGCAAGTCAGTCACAAGTCAGTCACAAGTCAAACCTAAAGTCAGTCACAAGTTAGTCACAAGTCAATCACAAATCAGTCACAGTCAGTCGCAAGTCAGTCACAAGTCAGTCACAAGTCAGTCACAAGTCAGTCACAAGTCAATCACAAGTCAGTCGCAAGTCAGTCACAGTCAGTCGCAAGTCAGTCACAAGTCAGTCACAAGTCAGTTACAAGTCAGTCACAAGTCAGTCACAAGTCAGTCGCAAGTCAGACACAAGTCAGTCACAAGTCGGTCGCAAGTCAGTCACAAGTCAGTTGCAACTTTTCAGTCACAGTCAGTCGCAAGTCAGTCGCAAGTCAGTCACAAGTCGGTCGCAAGTCAGATCACAAGTGAGAAGCCCTTGAATAATACCTTAGTCCAAATTAACTTGAATAGGTTGTGACTTGATCTATTAACGATTTGATGATCTGTTATTGACTTGTTTGTGATTGACTTGTGATGACTTGTGATTGACTTGTGATGACTTGTGATTGACTTGAGATTGACTAGAGATGACTTGTGATTGACTTGTGATGACTTGTGATGACTTGTGATTGACTTGTGATGACTTGTGATTGACTTGTGATTGACTAGAGATGACTAGTAATTGACTTTTGAGTGACTTGTGATGACAGGTAGTGACTTGTGATCGAATTAATTATAATTCTGTACGATTTCAAGCCGATTGACTTGGTAATCTGATATATTCACGTCATTAGCAACAACACGTTGAACTAAATCACGTTTTGGGATGTGAATTAAGGAAAATCGTGGCTTGAAACATGACGGCTGCTCACCAGGTTGGCATAACTGCGGAGACAGTGGGTAACACCAAGATTCTGACTGGTCTCGTAGCGGGAACCGGCGTTGACCATCAGGCCAATCCGTGAGACCGGGGAGTGGTTCTCCAACGAGGCTACCGTCAAACCATTGTTCAGCTTGGAAACCTTCGAAAATGCAGAAAGATTAGTTAAAAATAACCTCCACAGTTTACATTTTTATACAAATGTGATAACATTTATAACTTTCTCATATGTACATCTATGGGTAATTACAATGTAATGTTCGTGACAGAGCCAATTATCTAATTAATGAATCAGAGAAATGATCCAAAACTCCCGGTCTGTAATGTCTTTGATCATAAGTACATGACGGATGTACATGTATAAGATTTCAAAAAGAAAATTCAGATCTAAAAGGCTGAGCTCTAACAGCTCTGTCACGAACATTGCATTTTCTTCCATAATACTGGTATTACCCCTAAGAGAATTTTTTCAGTGCTACAGTTAAATTTAATCTTCTATTATGAAAAGATTGCTTTTTTAGGAATCCATACTAAATGAATCTCATGCAAGCTTGGAGCAATTTCTTTCATTTCAGTGTTCATACTAGTCCGAAAGTTTTGGACTCTCAATACCGTGTATGAGAGTCCCAAACTTAAGGTACTGAAAACATGCAATACAAGAAAATAGACTGGCATCTGAAACAACCAGTCCAACAACTCTTCAGTTCTGCATCAATCAACTGTCAGCTGACTGTGCCAAAAGAAATATCTAGGATGACGGGTACAAGGTTCTACACATTTCTCCATAGTCAGGCACCAGACTAATGACAATAAACGAAGAAGTCAGTCTTGTCAAACAGTTGCACCATGGATGGACATGTACCAGTCTAGTCTTTAGCCCCATTTTGAAATCACTTGACTTCCCCTTCATGTTCAAGCCACTGGCAAATATTGAAGAAAAGTCTCCTTTAAAAATTGAATTGAGTCTTTAAAATTGGTTGGTGAAATTCAAACTTTTCTTTGCCCTATGACAGTTGTGGAGAAATGTGCTGGTTAAAGAGTGAGTAAAGTTGGCCGGATTTTATTGCATCGTTTTGAGCACTTAAGGTCCCAGTCTTGCTTCATACCTGCACAGATTCTTGTGGGAGAGGGGCTTTGTCTGCCGACTGTGTAGCTGTAGCCACCTGGGCAGCATACAGTCTCCTCTGTAAATAAAATCAGAAAAACATCAAAAGCATGTAACTGCTGTACATTGATGTCAGTTGTCAAATAAACCAAAAAAGGGAAACTTCCAACGTGCATTATAATAATTTTTAAAACTTGAACATAGAAATTGACTGGAGAAGGGTTAGAACCTGCTACCTCCAGATTGCCATTCCGATGCTCTACCAACTGAGCTATCCAGGTAATGTTGCTAGCATAGTGACTTTGAACGTGATCCCTGGCTACACATGGCTTCTGACTAGTGCCCCTTGGACAAAGACATTGACGTTATGGGGAACTACCAACAACGGGCTGGATAGCTCAGTTGGTCGAGCACCGGAACGGCAATCTGAAGCTCGCAGGTTCAAAACCCGCTCCAGTCAATTTCTTTGTCGAACTTTTAAAAACACAACTTACTTTTTAAAGACAAAACACAACTCGAATATAAAGATGGCAATCACTGCAATGTACCGTGAACGCGCAAGGCGCGTTGAATCGCACCAGCACCAACTGTAAACAGCGTATGATAATCGTAATACCCCAAGAAACTGTTCCAAGAAAATGGTGTCATAAGAACTGACAGAAGTTGACTTTAGGTTGGAAAGGTCATTTTTGATTGAATGATAAAAAAAAACCCAGCCTTGACTTAATTTGATCGAAACTAAAGATGGGCCCGTAACTACATGGTTGCCTTTAATAAACTAAGTATGAACTGGCATGACAAGTGAAGCTTTGCCTTTGTGAGTTTTGAGTTTGACTTCTATAAAATTCTGCAGAAATTTGCTAAATTTAAAAAGGACACTTTTCTGTCTGAAATTTAACATAAGTTAAGGCAACATTAACAAAACAAGTTTTTGAAATTTGAGTTGAGACACACAGTGACACACTATCATGCACCAAACCTGACAGCGGCCATATCATTCAGCTTAAGACTTTGTGTAATCGAAATTTTAAGCATAACATTTTTTCACGTATTTAATTCAATGTAGGATTAGGCCTACTCAACACGAACATTTCATCAAAAACATACCGGCGTTTCTAAATGCCGCAACTGAAACGAAGTATTGATTAAATCGCATTATTAACTAAACTTATGAAATAACTAAAACCTATATTTCAAACAGACATTTAGATCTTTCAAGATACTCACCGATAACCCGGCAAAAACTGGCCGTAAACCTGACAAAGACATCATTTTTTCGGGCAACCACACAGCGCAGCTCGTGTAAAATGGCGAGCCGAAACGGCAGTTGCCGCTGGCGGCGCTGTGCGTGTTGGCGCCCTCAATGCGTGAAGAGGCTTCAAAAACTTTTCGCTCGTACCCTCCACTGCAACCTCGTTCCCATAGGTACGAGATCTTGCTGCGCCATGTTGTTTCCCATCATGCCTTGCAGATCACCAGCCGGTCTCACCAATATGGCGTCAAATTCATTTCTTGTGCGGCTCATTATCCGCTATCCAGTCTTTATATAGAGATCAGTGGTACCCCCCTCTCCCCTCCTCTCCCCCCCCCTCTCCCCCCAGTGGCGTCACCAGACTTTTCAGTCTGGTGGGGGGGGGGCACAGGGGGGGGGGGGGCACCAGCATTTGATGGGGGGCACTTAGGTGGATACGGATCGCCGTCCTGGGGGAGGGGTCTAAGGGTGCCCCCCTCCCCTTTGGAAAATTTTCGCATACGGAGGATGGGCTAGATGCAAAATGGTGCCACATTTGATGCTAAATTCGATCTGAAGATATCTCAAGAAATTGCTATTTTTGAGGTAATGATTTTAACAACGCGCAGAATTTTGCAGAGGATAGGGGGCACCAGCATTTGATGGGGGGGGGGGGGGGCACTCAGGGGGGCACTAGGTTTTCCAGGGGGGGGGCACGTGCCCCCCCCCCCCTGGCCCCCCCTTGGCGACGCCACTGCCCCCCCCCCCCCCCCCCCCCCCCCGCAAACAGGGCGCTGGGAAGGGCAAATGAGCTTCATTCGCTCGTACCCCCCGCCCTGCAAACCTACGAGCGAAATGAGCTTCACCAACCTCGTCCCCAGGGCTTACTTTATTTCCAACGTTGTTTCCAATAGTAAGGTAGTGGTGGGCGCGTACTGCTCGACATCCTGGGGACGAGGTTGGAGCTTCACAGAATGTTTTGAAGGAAGTGGGGATGGCATTCTGGGTAATTTATCATGAGCTATGTATAAAAACATCTGGCTTCAGCTGTGACCGCGTTTAGCCAAAGCGCGCAAATGCTATCCGAATAGTTTGCCATAGCCTGCATACACACCATACCGGATGTGATTTCTTTTTCATTGTGGACCATGAGGACAAATTTTTAGCGTCGAATGATATGCATTGAATTTGAAACGGAGCCTGAGCAACTGACGTTGAAAATTTACAAAGCAACTGGAGTTGAAAATTTACAAAACAGATAAGTTTTACAGATTTTCCTAACGTTAATTTTATGCTTTTTCAACCAAAAAAGGGCGCCGCGTTTATGAATGGGAATAAAAGAGTGATGAATGAATCAGTCTTAACGGCCGTTTCAAACCTTGCAGGATCGTGGTCGTGATGACTTGCAGGTCACAGGTCATGCAAATTATATTCAATCAGAGCGTTAATTCGTCAGCCCTTCCCAGCGTCCTGTTTGCAGGGCGGGGGTGTACGAGCGAACAAAAACTTTCGTACGTTGAACTCAGCCTGAGTGCATGCTGCAGCACTAGCTGCTGGCTCGCGGTATATACGGTTGGCACTCTAAAACTTTGGATTCTGGAGAAAAATCATTGTTTGTGCATTGAAAACAATCCTAGCTCCGCCATTCGGACACAGTGCTCGTCATAATACGATTCACCCCCAAAACTTGCAATTTGTCACAGTGAGAGGGCGGGAGATATCGTCACCTAAGTCGGTTTTTAAACAATGTGTACCAAAATAATAAATAAATAAAAATCCTGCAATTTCAGTGACAAGTAAGGAAAAGCGAGGTTGTCTTTAAACCTAGGCAATCATTGCATAGGTCCGGTGGTAAAATTGGGTAAAAGTAACGATATTAAAATGCAGCACGCTAGTTCTAAAAGCGTACTCCTCCTTCCTTAGCCTATATCTTGCAATTTGTCTCCTAAGTTTCATACAATTCTACCTTACTGACTAGCACGGAAAGGCCGTACAGTCTTCGCAAGAAGCCGTCAGTTGTGAATGAACATGTTTCGGTAACGCTCCTATAATTGTGGCCTACAATATGATTGGGGAAGGCTAGGCTAAGGTTCCAACAAGTGTTTATTTATCAACGAAGAAGGAACAATCCGGCGACGATATTCAAAATGAAATTCAAATAAACTGTACCAGTTTATAATAGTCACTAAATGTATACGGTTAACTTGGTCTTGTAATGTTACATGAAACGTAAAGGTTTATTTTTTTAAAAAATAATAAATTATCTCATAGCTACGTAGTCATGATTCGTCGCAAACAAAGCAGTGCAATTAATTTCACAAGGTCCTGGCCAACTACGTTTTTATTTGTGTTGGTTTGGCAACGTGCAGTCACTCCTGATATCAATTACCTCGCTTAATGGCTAGTCCCTGCCTTTATTGAATTTTCTTCATAATTCCCCGGGATGTAGAGTTCCCATAGACACAAGTTGCTCTCATCATTCATAATTTTCGAAGGACGCTGAAATGATGTGACCATAGCAACAAGACCTTTGTCTCCTGTCTTATGATAATAATAATAATAATAACGGAGTCTTATTTAGCGCACGTATCTACCAACAATTAGGTACTCAAGGCGCTGGTTCTTATGTCTTATGACAGCAATATTTTGCGGCAGAGAAAACTCGCGTCATACCACGACTGCAGTTTTCATTGCAGTTGACTTCAATGCTGAGACAGTAGAAGGTTGTACATGTACAGGGAACACATCTGACCCTCTTCAAACTCTGCTACCGAAGGACTATAACGAAACATCATGTACTTGTTCAAAGTTTTTAGCATTGTAGCAATTACTTCAGCGATCAATGCTCAATTTAGGTCAGGTTCCTGCCACTCTCGGCTCACTGTCCAATGCTCTTGCCCGCCAGAGTGGCAATTGTGGGGGAACGAGTGTTATCGCCTCACTCCTTCACCGCATACCTGGGATGACGCCAAGACAGCTTGCCAAGACATGGGAGGCAAGATGGCTGCTCCTTGCTCGCTGGAGGAGTTTAACTTTATAGTGAAATTGGCTCGAGATGTAGGCACCAAATTCTACGCCTGGATTGCTTGCAATGACAAAGAAATTGAAGGAACTTGGGAGTGTGACGGTCAGGAAGGAAGCCAGCCCTTCTTTGAATGGCATTCTGGAGAACCTAATAATTTGGGAGGCCAACAAAATTGCGCTAAAATGGGCCAGGTTGGAATGGATGACGTATCTTGTGATTCGTCAAACAGGGCTTTTTGTGTTCGTCAAGCAGCCTGCACTCACGGCCTATTCCAAATCCGTCACTAATGCCACTCTACCGACACACACGGCCGCAGTCTCAACTCAATCTGCCTCCTCGACCACAACATTCAATGTTATTCAATGTCACTCAATACGGAATATCAATACCATTTCATAAGCTGATGAGGCCGCATATGAATTCAATTTAAATTTTCCTTGATTTCTTGAATGTAAACAATTTACATTCGTAGATGTGACTGTAAATGGATTGTATTTCTTTTTCCGCGTCTATACGTGTAAATTTGCATGAAATTACTGAAGAGATTGAATTGGTTGTATGTGTTTATAACAATAAAAATCGTAACTAATACTTCGTTGTCAGATCGGTGTAGTCAAATTAGGTTTTGCCCTTCACCGACGTTCAAACACTGTATACTCAGTGTGCTACATCCCGAGCGAAAGTTGGAAAAAATCACTCGGGTGGGACTCGAACCCACGATCTCGTGCTTTCTAGTGCAGATGTCTCACCACTCGACCACCGAGCTAACGGAATCGGTTGGCTGGTTCGAAGCTGAAGTACGTAGCAGCGGGTACCGCATAAACTATTATAAGAATTTTGCGTCGGGATGATATGAATCAAATTTGGTTTTGCCCTTCAGATTCGAACCAGCCAACTTATCATGATGGCCTTTGTTTATTGAACATTTAGTTATTTGAAAGTGTCTGAAAGCACATTTTACGATCCAAGCTTCTTTTAATTGTGAAATATTTATGCTCGTTAATATTATTATGGTAAGTGAAATAAGTATTGAAGCTATTTAGCGGCATCAGTGCCTTTTACATCTGCAATGCCCATGCTGTATTGCATGTTTGAAATGTTGACAAGTCAATCTAGTAACAAAACGTGCCTAAACATCGATGTTTTTTTGTTTTTTTTAAATTTTAAAAACTGCTTTGAAAGTAATCAGTGTTGTAATCGCTTTTATCGTCAATTTTGAATCACGTTTGTTAAAGATTGCATTCACTTTTAAAGACCCGCACCCTTTGCTATATTGGTTTCCATCTTCTAGATTTTGTTTAACAGAAAGGAAAATTTCAGTTTATTTTTGATCGCACTATCACCAATTTCAAAAATCTCATACTCAGTACAAATGTCATGGATTATGTTGAAAATTATTAACCTTTCAATAAAGCGAATGTATTCTCTGCAAGGGCGGATCCAGGGGTGCAACGGGCCCCCCAAACGAAACCATTTTTGTTAAATTTTAGTCGGGTCGCAATAAAGGCAGGCACTGCGTACACCACCATCTTTTCCTCCCATAAAATTGGTTAAAGTGGTCAAAAATTGGCTCAGATCGCACACAGAGCATCTAGAATCCAAAACATTTTCGGGGCCCTTAAGCGGGCCGGCTCCGAACCCCAAGCCATGGGGACCACTTTTTTTTTTGCCCCCCAAAAATTGTGTTTTGGATCCGCCCTTGTTTCTCGGTCACTTTACTGCTACATAGTTTAATCATCTCAACATTGTTCATTTTGTTACTGCCCCCTCTGCTTTAAAAAAATCCTTTTTTTCCCCCGAAGCTCATTAGATGGTCTCAATATTTATTGGACAAGTTCGAACTATAATGAAAATTTAACCATTGAATTATTTTGTTTCAATTGCAACAGTTTATGAATAAAATAATGTTTTGTGTTATAGTTACAGTACAAAGAGCTTGTGTTTCCTGATAAGATTATTGTAACTTTAGCGATTCAAGTTAATCATGTCGATCTCTGGAAACGGGGAGTTTCACTCCATTGTATTTGTAGGAAATGTTACAACATCGTCAACTGAGACCAGGTCTGAGGTCGTCATCCAATACACGGGGTGTCCCAAGAAATGTCCCTCTGGAGGGAATA